AGATTAAAGAGTCTTATCGTAAAATGGCAAACGGTTTCATTACCATTTTCAGGTCTCATACCCGTAAGATCCGTCTTCAGCAACCCAACTTCGGCAACTCGTAAGAGGCGACTAACGGGATCGGGTAGTCAGGCTCGATGACTTGGTTGACACATGTTATCGTATCCCAGTTGCGCACATCGTTGCTCGTGTTGTTGACCACTGGATTGTCTGGTCCAGACTCGATTAGTACAACCTTTCATCATATAACTGGAATATTGCCGAGAGCAGCGTTAAACAACAAAGAAACAGGGCGAGCTTTTAGCAATATTCCAGCAATATCATGGCGGGGACACCAGAAATGGGCTTCACACATTGTACCTATATGGGGAATCAAAACAGAGGGTCAGATTTCTGTGATATGATATGCTGACCCAGGATCACATGATGGCACATAAATACAGGACATCTCTCCTTATATTCTAGAAGCAATTGGGTAGTCTGGGAGATTCGACTGAAATGCCAACCCTCCCTTGCCCTGCTCTGTCTCCCAGTCTGTACTCCTGCTTTTGAAATACGTGAATTTCGTGCAGCGCGTGTTCAACGGTCGCAGACGACGAGAAGTGAAGGACAAAGCGGAAAACCCCGCTATAAGGCATCGATCGCATGTTGGGTGAGTTATCCTGATTGTGGCAGAAAGATTCTGACTGAGTTGGATTTTACGCTGCTTTTAGCAATATTCCAGCATTATCACGGCGGGGAGCACCACAAATAGTTTTCACTCATTGTACCCATGTGAAGAATCGAACCCGGGCCTTTGGGGTGACGAGAAAACACTTTAACCACTAGGCTATCCATCGCCCCTACAGACAGATGTGGATTCGAACAATGTACAAGGTTAAGAATTTGATTTATAACTTCTTATTCCTTTTCAAAATAAAGTACGATGAATTCGTGTGTGAGAACATAATATTCAAAGAACATTATATTGTAATGGCTCCCCGTGAGCTGATTTAAGAGTTGAAGGCTTGATATGGGACTTGTCATGTGGGGCCTGAGGTATTAATAGTGTATGAGGGGGGGCTAACTCAGAGGCTTTTCTGACGAATCTCACGATATCCACGTACTCGTGGACCTCCCAGAAAGAAAGTGCAAAACCACTAATACTCTACTATGAAAGTTTCATTTTTTTCATTAGCTGGACAAAAATAGTTAGGGATATACGTAAAGTTTGAAATTATGAATAATGATCCATTTATTCATTGACACACCAGGGCCGTAGGGAGCCCAGGGGGGCAGGGGGGCAGCTGCCCCCAAGAATATTTTACAGATTAATTTTTGTGCATCAAACTATTGATATAACACTGTTTTAACGTGGATGGTGCACCCCTTATTAATAAAAGTTAACTACGGCCCTGCACACCTATGAAATATCAATCATAAAAATACCAATATCCCTAACTTATTTTGTCCAGTATATATGCCATATGTATTTTCAAAATAATGGTTAATACTACATACGGTATTGTTATGACCCTTCCACATTTACAAACTTGAGATACTACACTCGTGTATTTCAGTTCCAACAACGTTAAATACAGACACAAAGATGCTATTTATCTGTGCAACCTGAGAATAAGGAAGTTTGTACCTTATTTGAGTAGGAAATGTTCGGTTTGACATATTCACATATAATATTAATGACCACATTTACTGTGCGAGTCAAGTTCTTATTCATTGGTAATTCAGTACGTTAAGAATGTTGATCGTTGTATTTTCTGGTTAGTTACGGCGCTCAGTTTTAAATGTCAGAAGCTTACAAATGCTTATGGATATAACATAAATATCTAATTTGCCAGTGAAATAATACTGACAGCAATAAATCAGCTTTATCGCCTTTTCGTGACGTTTTCTCAAAACGGGTTCTTTTAGAATGCGCGTGGTTGTTGTTCAAAGTCGCAATATGGCAATTGTATGTGAACATTTGTGTGCTGGCGATTATGTGCCTGACTCTGAGTGAGTTGGGTTTTACGCCGCTTTTAGCAATATTCCATCAATATCACGGCGGGGGACACCAGAAATGGGCTTCACACATTGTACCCATGTGGGGAATCGAACCCGGGTCTTCCGCGTGACAAGCGAATGCTTTAACCACTAGGCTACCCCACCGCCCGCCTGACTCTGAGGGTATGGGTTCGAATCCCGGATGGGACTCGACCCAACAAAAGTACCCTGTACTTTACGAAGAAAGTGTAATCCCAAATATAACATATGCTACATCTGACCACTTTCTAAATGGCATTGTGTATTCAATAGCATTGTGTATTCGTGAACAACAGATTCGATAATCCAGTCACTGACATTGTGAGCAATGATGCACGCCGGAGAAACAGCATCTACAAAGTCCCGGTACTTTGTCATCATCGACACTCGCGATCATCATCGACACTCGTGATCATCATAGGTGTCCAAGATTGAGACCATTGCTGTACACAAACTTCTCGTTTCTTGGGTAACGAGCTACTATCAACCCATCCATCTGTGTACAGTACTGAAAATAATTGTCTGTGAATTATCCGTTGGTAATATTGAAAATGTTTCATTTCAGTCTGATATTTCAGGGTCCGTGATGACCATCAGAGGTATAGTTTGGCATGAAATGCATGTGGACCCGGTTTTTTGTAAATATCTCTTCATCCAATGACCCAATCGATCTCAAACTGTGCAAGTGGATGTTTTGTCAGACAACCTAATCACATTGTAAATCACCGATTTTATGCATTTGTATTAAAGAATCTGTCTATGTAACTGTCAACAAAATCAACAGCAGAACGCAGAATGCTTGCAGAGGGAGGGAGCCAATGACCTGTAACAGCGGGCGTGTTGGGTCATAAAGGTCAACGTTCGTAAATGTAGGTCAGCTATGCACGTGACAGGTATGAAGAGGTGTTCATTTCTAGAAAATAGCCGGCGAATGACATCTCTGATGACCCTGATGTCAAAAGAATCTAACTTTGGATGCCTAGCTTTTTGTACAAGGTTTTGTTTATTGGTTGTTGTTATATTTTACAATTTTTAGCACGATGTTCTTTTTCATGCCAAGAGCAAAAGTTGTACGTTTCATGTAATCCGACACCTTATAAATCGGTTTGCTACGTTTGCTCTCTTTTTTAACAAAATTCAACACATTTCTAATTAAACGTTTAGCATCATCTGAATAAGCTTTCATGATGACAGCTAGAAGTAGTCAATGTGAATGATCCAACGGTCTATCACTGTGCAGTGCCCAGGTAACTATCATGAACTGCACGTGCATTGACCTTTATGACCCAACACTGCCGCTGTTACAGGTCATTGGCTCCCTCCCTCTGCAAGCATTCTGCGTTCTGCTGTTGATTTTGTTGACAGTTACATAGACAGATTCTTTAATACAAATGCATAAAATCGGTGATTTACAATGTGATTAGGTTGTCTGACAAAACATCCACTAGCACAGTTTGAGATCGATTGGGTCATTGGATGAAGAGATATTTACAAAAAAACGGGTCCACATGCATTTCATGCCAAACTATAATACTTATGATCCATTCACAACTGACCCCACCCTACCCATGACTAAACCAGAAGATCCGGGTCAGAACTGTTATTCTGCAGCCGGTAAGAGGCAACTATAACCGGATGACTTAGTTCACAGGTCAATGTATCCCAGTTACGTAGATTGATGCTCATGCTGTTGATCACTGGATTGTCTAGACAAGACATGATTATTTACAGACCAACGCCATATGGCTTGAATACTGCCGAATGAGGCGTCAAACAATAAACATGGCTAAAACAGAACAAGACACATGATAGTTTGAAATATTTTATACCCATATATCACAGAGTATTGAAAGACATTGTATGGATTCATGCCATACAGTTAACAGGGGTGGAAATAACCCATTGCCCGACGTCCGAGCCCAGTGTTTTTTCAAGTCGGGCAAGCACATTTGTATATCCCGCTGTACCAATGTCCAGTTGACTTTCAAATGTTAATTATGTTGTTTATTTAAAAAATCAACAAGAAAATCAGCTGGTATAGAGGAAAAATTATCAGGGCAAGTGATTTTACATGTGCCACTGTACCGATGTACACTAGCAATTTTCAAAGTTATTTCCACCCCCTGCATACATACACCACCAGCTCACTGCCAACTTGCACAGAGCGATCTTAGGGCTCAAAGCACCTTAAGTTTTACAAAGCGATCTTTGGGCAATATGAGCATTATGATCACTTTAATGCAACGGTCTCTTTATGGAACGTCTCTGAGCTAAAACCATCATTGGCAAACTGTCCAAGGCAAGTATTATGTACAGTGTTCTTATGTGACCAAGTAAAACAGAACAACAAGAACAAAACAAGCATCTAGTAATGGCATCTAAGTTGTCATATGTTATTGTGCTCCTACTACAAACAAGTCTGGAATAACCTGGAAACAAGTAGATAAAATCTTAACAAATACCTAAAAACAGTTGGCCTTTCAGCTATGTCTCCTTTCCTCAGAACTGTACAATTAAATCCAACTAACAACTAACTTCAGCATGAGAATCTACAGAGTGTCCCCATGCCACCTTCCACAGGGTGACCTCAGAGTCAAATACTTTAACATTCATTTTGGCAGCCCCAGTATCACTTTGTAGACCCCTTTGTACAAACCGATCTCAGGCCTCCCACTGTCATAAGCCTATGTTTGGGAGTAAGTATGGGAGTTGATATCACCTCAGTGCTAAGACAGCTTTGCACAATGGAGCCTAGGCTCCTGAAATCACATTGGACACACAAGCTAGAATTACATGTAAATCTTCATGAATATGCACCTTGAATGAATCAGAAACAAAATGTCACATTGATATGTAGAAGAATATGCTGGTTTCTGATTTGAGTCTTCATATGTTTCTGTCAGGAATGGCACAGAGATTGTTGACACGAGTGGGGATTATAGTCCCCGATGTGGTATCCAAGTGGATCAGTCAAGGTCGTCCATCAGGCAGTCTGTTATGCCTCTCTCCAGCTCCCTCTTGTGGACAACATGGGCATTCTTCAGCACACTCTCCCTGGTGTGGAACCTTATACCTCCCTGGAACCATGAATAATGACAAGGTGTTGATGATGGTGATTGAAATACAAGAATACACTACTCTGACATCTCTCTCATGAGTGAGTGGGTGACTGTGTTAAGTTTTACACCACTTATAGCAATATTCCAGCAATACCACAGAACGGGACACCAGAAATGGGCTCCTCACATTGTACCCACGTACAATCGAACTTGGGTTTTTGGTGTGAAATCAAACCCTTTAACCACTAGGCTACTCCACAGCCCTCACTATCATGGGCCAATAAATAGTTGAATATTATCTATAACACTAGATTATCTATAACACTAGATTATCTATAGCACTGCATGCATAATACACAAAGAGAAAAGTAACTGATGTTCGATCTCAATATAGGGTGAGGTAAATTGGGTTTTATCACGGGGTCGTACTTATGTTCATCTGTGTGCAAAACTTATGCTGGTTTTATATTTTACTGACTAAACAAAACAGTCCTTGCTTTATCCACACAACGCCACCCACCAGGCGGGGCCTAGATTTTCGAAGCTCTCTTAGTGCTAAGATAGTCGTAAGTTAATGTTATTGTATGGCACTTACGACTATCTTAGCACTAACAGAGCTTCGAAAATCTAGGCCCAGGTTTCTATGTTATAATGTATTTTGGTCTGATAATGCCCAGGATCAAATCACTGGTTTTCCTCTCTTTCAGGGTAGATGCTCTAGCCACTAGACCATGGACACTGTCTACTCCAATCTGGTGTCGAGACAAATCACCAGTGTAAACCTAACCCTGCAATATGTAGTGTATTACTGTGATGGTTACATGCTTACCACTGGTATCTTTCTGCGGGTGATGACGCCATCGCCGACGTGGATGTCATGGAGGTTGCCGTAGGTGGAGCAGGTCAGTTTCAGCCGCTTGCTTGGTGGCCCTGTCAAGTCATACCCAACAGACTGTGCCCATCATCTATGCCTGAGTCTTCGGACAGGGACTCCCATATGGATGGAAGATCCCTCTTGGGATTCTGATTCTCCTTGCTGCTGACCGACTGAACCTGGTGTGTACTGCTGGACATCGGCTGTCCATCTGATGGGTTCGGACGAAGCTTCCTCTTGCCGCCCTGACCTGGACTCTGTTGTAACCATGATGATCCAGGGATTGTGGTCCGGGAGTTGATGGCCTTCAGTGCATCTCTCAGTCGACATTTGGCCAACCAGCCCTGCACTCCTGATACATACATGGGGAACAATTTGTAAGATGATCCTCAAATATCAAATAATGAATTCAAGGAGCAGAAAAAGTATACTCAGTTTTGAAGTTGCAGTGACATTCACAGCCCAAAACAGACAAAAGAATCCTCTTGGAAGGATTTCTAAAGTCAATACTTATTTGTAACAAACAAACATGTTGAAATATTGTAAAAATTAGCCTATGATGACTTGTACCATGTATTACTATCACCAGATGAAAGTGTCTATCCAGCTGATAAGCAATAAGAGTAGTGTTTCATCTTCCTGACACACCGGTATATATAGTCTTGTAGCAGGCTAATCCCTAAAGTCCACACTCTCAATACTGTTTAATTAATCCTCTTATCCAGAGATTAAACAGGCCCAAGGTGTCAACTACTTGGCATTGAGTATAATTAAAGACACTAATTAGCAAGTACTTTGTAGTTTCCATTTTGGTACGGGCTAACAAGACATTACTTTGCTACCAGGCAGTCTTTTGTTTGAATTAATTACATTAAGACTTACCATTTGCAATGCAAACATATATTGTAACCATTTAACACTTGTAAGTCAGGTCTCATACATGTATGGCAATAATAGGCTCATTCTGAACAGGTGCAGATAACCAGTCTCTGCTAAAATCTTTCAAGTCATCATTAGCATTTGACATTATTTTCAGTAGTTCTTTTTATCAATGTATAGAACCTGAGCAAGACCTTGCAGTCCAAAACAAAGTTCATAATAGGCTTCTAACTGCAGATTTCTTCAGACAAATATGAAGCACAGAGTAGTACACCATCCAGACTCAGCAGGAGTTCAGTTATCAAATCTGACAAAGCATTGCAGAGAAACATCATGTTTGTCCACAGCACAAGTGTTACAGACAATCACTGATAAATTCGGATACTTCACAACTTCATGTTTATAGCTAGAGTTAATAAATCATATATATTTAATAATAATAATTAGTCCATTTGTTTTGCGCTAGCTGGCTGTATATTTCCTAGCATCAAATACTCTATAATGCCCACAATCTGAAAATGTGTGTTAATGACCAACTAACTAAATAAAATGATCAGGGCTGTCTTAATGAATTACATATACATGTGCTCAGCATACCCACAAAGGCCTACACATGTCAAATTAAGCCCTGGTATGTCAGAGGTCTTTGTGTTGATGGCACAGGGCACAGGAGGCACAGTTGCTAATGATGCCACAATTTACTGTGCAGAGTTACATCCCCTCACACACAAGTGAGTTTCATATGTTATATCTGGGATTACACTTTCTCAGTAAAGTACATATTCTCATATTTTTGGGTTGAGTCCCATTCGGGATTGGAACCCACACCCTCAGAGTTAGGTACCTAATCGCCAGCACACAAAGTCAGCCACCATACCCGCTAAGCCACTGTGGCTTCCATGTCCTGAGTGAGTATCCTTTGACGCTGCTTTTAGCAATATTCCAGCAACATCACGGCCTACCACTAGGCTGCCCATCGCCCCCTTACACACTAGAAACCAATGGTTGTGGGTTTCAATCCCATTTTGCGCTGTGTTTATGGTCACCACCACACCCTCGCTGCCCTATTATATAGGGGCATTAAATAGGAACCTGGATTAGGCAATGATATTTAATTCCTAAACTACATTAACTGTTAAAAAGTAATTAATAAAATACACCTTAACACATAAAGTTTGAGAACCTATCATTGCAATGTTCAAAATACAAAAATTATTCAACCACAAAAACATTTTGACATAAAGCAAAGCAATACAATAATTGAACCTGTTGAAACAATGTTTAATCAAACATGAATGCAGTATAAGCTTTGGCTAATTGGGGGTGTCAATTACCAATTCAAACAAGTCTTAATTCCCATTATCCAACCATAAAGCCATTAAAACAACATTGTCTATAAAACTTAATTACCTCTGAATTCAGTCTTGGCAGCACTTTAATTAAAAAGGGCTATTTGGCTACATGAGCATTTGGATTTAAACTTTACAGCTAAGGAAATTGCCAAGTCAGGAGCAGAGCATTAGGTATAATTATTAGTAAGTTTAAGGCAGTTGGAGGTATGTCCTTTGATGTTTATAACTCTTTGTATGATAACCTTGTACAACCTATTTTATCTTATGGTTCAGCTATTCAGCTGGTTTTACGCCGCTTTTTAGCAATATTCCAGCAACATCAACGGCGGGACAAAGAATTCAGATGTATTAACATCGTTCAAAACAGGGCTGCACGTTTCTTTCTTGGTGTTGGTAATAAGACTGCAAATCCTGCAGTTTGGGGTGTCTCTCCTGTATTTCAAAACATATAGCAATTATTTGTTTTTGGAGAAAATTACATATGGCTGAACCATCAAGATTGACTAGTTGCATTTAAGTTTGGTCCTTGAAGTTTAGAAAATCCTGGGATAATTTTGTCTTAAATTTCCTCAGGCAAATTAATTTCCAATCTGATAATGTTTTCACAGTTACTCACAGGTTTTTTCTCATTATTAGAGATAGGATAATTAGCATTGATCACGAATTCTGGTATCGAAGTTTATGGAATGATAATAGACAGGCCAATGGTAACAAACTGAGAACATTTAGATTATTCAAAAATACTCTGGCAGTTTCACCTTATGTTCGTTCAGTCTCCAACCGCTCTCAACGAATTTTTCTCGCAAAATTGAGATGTGGCTCTCTCCCCTTAGAGGTAGAAATTGGTCGATTTTCCTGCCCCAAAACTCCATTAAATCAACGTATATGTAAATACTGCAATTACTCTGAAGTTGAAGATGAGATACATTTTCTAACCCCATGTCCATTGTATTCAGATATCAGATCTATGTTATGGCTCAAAGCCAATGAAATTAAACCACAATTTGTTAATCTGTCCTCAACAGACCAAACTATATTTCTAATGCAGTATCCTCAGCTCTCCACACCACTTGCCTTTACATTGAGCGCTATGTTCAGGCGCAGAAAAACTACTTTTATAATGTAATAATTTAAACAAATATCCGTGACTATTGTACTTATACCTCTCTTATGTGATCTATTTTAATTATATTTATGCGCTCTTAAAGACTTTTTATTGTAATTTAGTGTCTCACAGGCCATTTCTGGCCGAACAACGTACTGTGAATATGTGTAATTTTTAATATATTGAGATTGTACGTTGTGTGACACCTAAATAAAAAAAAATTCTTCTTTTCTTTTCGTCTTTTTCTTCATCTAAAACAATTGGTTTGAGTCAAGTGATAGGTGATTGTCATCCAGTTTACACAGTAGACATTTTTGGGTTCAGAATTCTTTAAATATTGTCTTATCCTCAAAACCGTATAATAACATCCACCTTGAAGTTTATCCCAAATATGGATGGTCCACACCTTGTTGTGATTAGTAACTTTAACGAGATCAGTGGTACAGCAGGTTCACCTGTAGATATATATATATATATATATATGTATATCTGTCTGTAATAAGTGTCTTACTATACACCTAACACTTCACCTATACACTACAAACACTCCTCAACCCACTTCATCACACACAACCCTCACAGCCTTAGGTATATTTCTAATCAAAACTCCAGTTAAATATCACATATAATACTGATTACCTGAAACAATAGAGAACAACATATAATACCAGCCCAAACTTACACCACTTCTGACAAATTTCCATATTCATACAAAATTAAATATTCATGCCCATTAAAACACTAAAGCCTGGTGGGTCAGTTTGTAAAAAGCATCACATGTAAAATCTGTAGTTCTTACTGTCCCAGCAACATGCTTGAGTGTCAGTAGAGAAGACACTGTTGTATTATTAGCTAAATACCATATGTTATAGAATTACACTTTACAGTTAAGTACTAATTTTGATACCTTTTGGATTTGAGTCCCATTATTGATCTGAACCCCATCTCAGACATGTTGTAAACTATAAGACCAGCATAGTGCAGGCCTTCCACAAAGCAGTCACGCATAGAAAAGATACAAATCCAGGAATCCCCTTGGACAAAAAATTATCCCCCAGAGAGACAGACAGAGAGAAGAGAGAGAGAGAGAGAGAGAGAGAGAGAGAGAGAGAGAGAGAGAGAGGAGATACAGAGAGAGAGAGATACAGAGAGAGAGAGAGAGAGAGACAGAGGGAGAGAGAGAGAGCAGACAGAGAGTTTTTTGGGGATTTTGCCCGGGGATGGATTTTTCCGGGGAATTTTGGTCCGTTACCTGAAAGATATGTGTGAGAGGTGAGTTGAATTCAGACAGTGATCATGTAGCAGCAAATTTCAAAGCGTATATGGTTAATGATTAACAATACATTATCGCATCTAAAATGTTACTACGTAGAGAATATGAAATGTAATTGTAATTATTACACACAAACACACATGACCTACATCTATCCTTTCCAGGCAACAAAGTGTTGGTGATGCACTCAAGTCTTTGATGCCGAGTCAGCAGGATCAAGTAATACGGATCAGGCCACACTTCTATCTAAAGAATCAATCTAATTTTAAATTATAAATAGCTATCTAAAGCTTCTGAGAACATGTGTGCCGTTGGAGATAATGCATTCAATATTTCATTAATTTACAGGTCTGAAATTCAATTTGCATTTGGTTGACGGAGCAATAGTTTGGCTGATTAGTTTCAATTTGTGGTGAATGCATGTCTTCATTCATTCATCAGTAGAGGTGAAATGCTACACTGTCACGCTATGACATGGATCACTCAACGCTTGCCACAAAGGGCGGCAGACTCCATCAAGAAAGGGGGGAAAAAGAACTGCTGAACTGAAAACAGCCAAAGTGGATCAATTAAAGTCAAAGAAATGAGAATTTTCAAACATACAATCAAAATAATGGATCTTAGACCCTGTGACATGCTATCTTCAAATTAATACTGAGGAAGATCCAAGATATTGAAAAATGAGTATCACACTTCACAACAAAAACACATAGATATCACCTGCCCCCTTGGATACCATTTACATGGATACACCACTTAACAATGCGAAGACTGTGAGATGAGCTGTCTTATTTTATCGCTTTAATGACCAGCATCAGGCATAGTAACATTAAGTACCATCTTTTAATGTCATTTGGTACAATGTGTCAATGAAGTAGTTTTATATCCACAGGTGACTTGGGATCGGTTTTATAACCAAAGGTTGCTAGGGATCAGTTTTACAGCCACAGGTTTCTTGGGATCAGTTTTATTGGCAAAGGTTGTAGGGATCAGCTTTATAGCCACAGGTTTGACTGACTGACTGAGGACACGCTTTTAGCAATATTCCAGCAATTCACATTGGGACAGAAGAAATGGGCTTTATTGTGCCCATGTTGTAACCCGGGGATCAGCTTTAAAGCCACAGGTTGCTAGGGATCAGTTTGAAAGCCACAGGTTGCTAGGGATCAGAAATCTATCTTCTCCAACAGTCAAGTGTAGTGTGTGATGGCAATAGCATTAAAGAAACGACAGTGATATCTACTTCAGTGGACTGGTATTTGAACAACAAATGGGATTATTGCTATATTTTACGAGTGCTTCTTAAATGTTGTATCAGCAGGTTTGTGTTGTCCATGCCGGGACTTCAGACAAACAGTTTCTCTTATGTAACTGAATACAGAAAGGGTAAACCAACTTTTGATTAAACACAATGACTACATATTCTCTGTTGCATTGAAGAGTTTTGTAACTGAATGGAAGGGATTGCAAGGTTAGCCTGTATGATTTTCAATTCATTACCTAATGCTCTCCAGCTGATCATCCATTAAAGACGGCAAACAAGATCTCCTGTCCCAGTATACAGCAAGCCAAGAAGATCTCACTATACAGCAACAAAATCTCCCATCCCACAGCAAGCCAAGAAGATCTCACCTCTCACTATACAGCAACAAAATCTCCCATCCCACAGCAAGCCAAGAAGATCTCACCTCTCACTATACAGCAACAAAATCTCCCATCCCACAGCAAGCCAAGAAGATCTCACCTCTCACTATACAGCAACAAAATCTCCCATCCCACATGTGCCAAGAAGATCTCACCTCTCACTATACAGCAACAAAATCTCCCATCCCACAGCAAGCCAAGAAGATCTCACTTCTCACTATACAGCAACAAAATCTCCCATCCCACAGCAAGCCAAGAAGATCTCACTTCTCACTATACAGCAACAAAATCTCATATCTCACAGCAAGCCAAGAAGATCCCACCTCTCAGTATACAGCAACAAAATCTCCTATCTCACAGCAAGCCAAGAAGATCTCACTTCTCAGTATGCAGCAAGCCAAGAAGATCTCACCCCTCAGTATACAGCAACAAGATCTCCTATCCTAGTCCTACAGCAAGTCAAGAAGACCGGCAAACAAGATCTCACCTCTCTGTATACATCGAGCTGCTGCATGTTGGCGAGCCAGACACCTCCGTTGAGTGTACATCTTCCATGCGTCCCAGATAACCCTGACTGCCTGTCTCCTCTTCCTCTGTCTGTATCTACGCCAAGCCTGTTGGAGGATCACAGCGTATCGGGCTCGCAGATCATTCCGTGCTGCTTCCAGTGCCTCAAACTGTAATATAAAGTTCCAGATTTTCTAGGGCATCATGCAAACTGTGTTCTCCCAAAGGACAATCTCACACAGGTGGGTGTTTTATATATAGAAAAGTTTAGGCAGTGTGACACAATGTAGTTTATAATAAAAGTGTATGAAATAAGCCAAAAACCCAGCCACACATCAGGGCTGATTTAACTAGACCAGACAATCCAAAGAAAATTACTCAGCTGTATGGAACATGTTATCTAAAATTTTTACCAGACCATCGGGCTGGCTAGCTGTAAATTTAGACCGTCTGTCAGAAATCTAGCCCGTCTCAGCTAGAAGGGCCAGGCCTTATTTCATACACAGAATATACACAAGATATAACTATAATTTAATCATAGTTTATAGCAACAATGTGTGAGTGAGTTTAGTTTTTACGCTGCACTCAGCAATATTCTAACTATATGGCTGTGGTCTGTAAATAATCAAGTCTGAACAAGACAATACAGAGGTCAACAGCATGAGCATCGATCTACACAACTCAGATACGATGACATGTGTAAACCAAGTCAGCGAGCCTGACCACCAGATCCCTTTAGTCGCCTCTTACGACAAGAATGGGTTACTGAAGATCAATTCTAACCTTATAGCAACAAAAATGTGTTGGATACAACACATGATTTGTAAATTTATGTAGAATTTGTTTGTCTTTTATTGTTCAATGAGACACTCTGCAATATCCCAACTAGCCTATGAACAAGCATTGTCACTAAGGTGACATAATCCCCTGCTGACAAGCTTAACATGCAGGTTAACATGCTGAAATATTCAAAGTGTCGCTGAGACCTTGAAAATTAAGTGAAGGTCGCCAAAATCGACTGGGCCCTGTGTCCTCCCCAGATAAAGCTTGGTGTCAAATATGAAGAAAACCTAGTGAATGGTTCTTGAGATATTACGCTGACAAGCTTAACATGCAGGTTAACATGCTGAAATCTTCGAAGTATCACTGTGACCTTGAAAATTAAGTGAAGGTCACCAGAATGAACTGGGCCCTGCTCCTTCCCTACATAAAACTTGGTGTCAAATATGAAGAAAATCCAGTGAACATTTTTTTAGATATCTCGCTGACAAGCGTAAAACGTTAAAGTCCCCTTGTGACTTTGAAATGAAGGTCAAAGTCACCAAACCAGACTGGGACCTTTCTCATATTGTGATGAACCTAGGTACCAAATATGAAAAGAATCTAGCCAACGGTTCTTAAGATATTCCATACGTATGTACGGGACAGTCGGATGGAGCCTAATACTACATCCCCCGCTTCATACTAAACACGCAGCGGGAGATAATAATCAAGCTTGGACCAGACAGTACAAAGATTGATAATGTGAGCAACGATCTACTCCATCCAGTTAAAATAACATGTCATCAAGCCTGATCAACCATGTCACCTAGCCTGATCAACTATGTCACCTAGCCTGATCAACTATGTCACCTAGCTTGATCAACTATGTCACCAAACCTCATCAACTATGTCACCAAGCCTCATCAACTATGTCACCAAACCTCATCAATTATGTCACCAAACCTCATCAACTATGTCACCAAACCTCATCAACTATGTCACCAAACCTCATCAACTATGTCACCAAGCCTGATCTACTATGTCACCAAACCTCATCAACTATGTCACCAAGCCTGATCAACTATGTCACCTAGCCTGATCAACTATGTCACCAAGCCTGATCAACTATGTCCCCAAACCTCATCAACTATGTCCCCAAACCTCATCAACTATGTCACCAAACCTCATCAACTATGTCACCTAGCCTGATCAACTGTGTCACCAAACCTCATCAACTATGTCACCAAGCCTGATCAACTATGTCCCCAAACCTCATCAACTATGTCACCAAGCCTGATCAACTATGTCACCTAGCCTGATCAACTATGTCACCAAGCCTCATCAACTATGTCACCAAGCCTGATCAACTATGTCACCAAACCTCATCAACTATGTCACCAAGCCTGATCAACTATGTCACCTAGCCTGATCAACTATGTCACCAAGCCTGATCAACTATGTCACCTAGCCTGATCAACTATGTCACCAAGCCTGATCAACTATGTCCCCAAACCTCATCAACTATGTCCCCAAACCTCATCAACTGTCACCAAACCTGATCAACTATTTCACCAAGCCTGATCAACTATGTCACCAAACCTCATCAATTATGTCACCAAACCTCATCAACTATGTCACCAAACCTCATCAACTATTTCACCAAGCCTGATCAACTATGTCACCAAACCTCATCAACTATGTCACCAAACCTCCCTCATCAACTATGTCACCAAGCCTGATCAACTGTCACCAAACCTCATCAACTATGTCACCAAACCTCCCTCATCAACTATGTCACCAAGCCTGATCAACTGTCACCAAACCTCATCAACTATGTCACCTAGCCTCATCAACTATGTCACCAAACCTCATCAACTATGTCACCAAACCTCATCAACTATGTCACCTAGCCTGATCAACTATGTCACCAAACCTCATCAACTATGTCACCAAACCTTATCAACTATGTCACCAAGCCTGATCAACTATGTCACCAAACCTCATCAACTATGTCACCTAGCCTGATCAACTATGTCACCAAACCTCATCAACTGTGTCACCAAACCTCACCAACTATGTCACCAAACCTCATCAACTATGTCACCAAACCTCATCAACTATGTCACCAAACCTTATCAACTATGTCACCAAGCCTGATCAACTGTCACCAAACCTCATCAACTATGTCACCAAACCTCATCAACTATGTCACCAAACCTTATCAACTATGTCACCAAGCCTGATCAACTATGTCACCAAACCTCATCAACTATGTCACCTAGCCTGATCAACTATGTCACCAAACCTCATCAACTATGTCACCTAGCCTGATCAACTATGTCACCAAACCTCATCAACTATTTCACCAAGCCTGATCAACTATGTCACCAAACCTCATCAACTATGTCACCAAACCTCCCTCATCAACTATGTCACCAAGCCTGATCAACTGTCACCAAACCTCATCAACTATGTCACCAAACCTCCCTCATCAACTATGTCACCAAGCCTGATCAACTGTCACCAAACCTCATCAACTATGTCACCTAGCCTCATCAACTATGTCACCAAACCTCATCAACTATGTCACCAAACCTCATCAACTATGTCACCTAGCCTGATCAACTATGTCACCAAACCTCATCAACTATGTCACCAAACCTTATCAACTATGTCACCAAGCCTCATCAACTATGTCCCCAAACCTCATCAACTATGTCACCAAGCCTGATCAACTGTCACCAAACCTCATCAACTATGTCACCTAGCCTCATCAACTATGTCACCAAACCTCATCAACTATGTCACCAAACCTCATCAACTATGTCACCTAGCCTGATCAACTATGTCACCAAACCTCATCAACTATGTCACCAAACCTTATCAACTATGTCACCAAGCCTCATCAACTATGTCCCCAAACCTCATCAACTATGTCACCAAGCCTGATCAACTATGTCACCTAGCCTGATCAACTATGTCACCAAGCCTGATCAACTATGTCACCAAGCCTGATCAACTATGTCACCAAACCTCATCAACTATGTCACCAAGCCTGATCAACTATGTCACCAAGCCTGATCAACTATGTCACCAAACCTCATCAACTATGTCACCTAGCCTGATCAACTATGTCACCAAACCTCATCAACTATGTCACCAAACCTCATCAACTATGTCACCAAGCCTGATCAACTATGTCACCTAGCCTGATCAACAATGTCACCAAACCTCATCAACTATGTCACCAAGCCAGATCAACGATGTCACCAAGCTTGATCAACTATGTCACCAAGCCTGACAATTTGGTCACCTCTTATAACCAGCATAGGTTGCTGTTCTATCTCTGAACACAAACAGGGTTGTGAAGATTTTCAAACAAATCAGCAGTGATACCTGTTGTTGCAGCAAGAAGATTTTATTCTTCCCGAACTGATCCCGAACCCCTCCATTCTTAACAAACTCAGGCCCAAGGACTTTGGACAGGACAACCGCGCAACACTTGCGGGTGTGGTCAAGGCTTGACAATCCTGAAAAAGAGAAGAGATATTAAGTTATCATTCAATCCACTCAGTTGTAAGTCTCTGTTTCATCAGCACTGAGGTGCCAACTCCATCTCAAGGACATTTAGAATATCTGGAAAACTAGCTGTCAGAAATGACTTAGTTTTGTTTTGATGTTAAATGCCAAACTCAGCAATATTTCAGTTGCATGACAGCAGTCTGATATTTGTTGAGTTTGGACTAGATAATCCAGTGACTGACATCTTGAGCATCAATCTATACAATTGGGATACGATGTGTCAACCACATCAGCAAGTGTGAACACCTGATCCCGTTAGTCACCTGTTACAACACTGATGGACTGTATTCTCTTGTCCAAAAAAATCAGCTAGCTTTTATATTGCCTTGCCAAGATGTTATAAGTTCCTGAATTTGACAAGCAGTTATGTGACAATGTCTGTGCTTAATTTCTTGAGAAATGTTTGACTAACAACTGGTGACATATTGTAATAATGTATTGTCTCAAACCCCTCAACCCGTGAAGGTCGGGTTAGAATATTGATCTGCAGTAACCCATGCTTGTCGTAAGAGGCGACTAATGGGATTGGGTGGTCAGGCTCGCTGACTTGGTTGACACATGTCATCGGTTCCCCATTGCGCAGATCGATGCTCATGCTGTTGATCACTGGATTGTCTGGTCCAGACTTGATTATTTACAGACCGCCGCCATATAGCTGGAATATTGCTGAGTGTGGCATAAAACTAAACTCACTCACTCACACCCCTCACACTGGTAACTATCTGTGGATCTCTGTCTCTAACACCAGTCACAGCTCCCTACTGTGTTTGGTGGGCAACAACCAAGCATGGAGTTCAATGGACAGTTATATTTACAATAGAGATGGCTGTCAAAATGAAATATGCTTGTACTCCTATGGAAGCTGAATTGTTTGGTCTGCTGTTCCATTTGATGAAAGTGAAAACATTGCTATTCACCTGTCCTTCTCCTGAGCACTCTCTGTGGAGTGGTGGAGTGCCGTGGCGTCGCAGACCGTTGTTTCTGGAGTAAGATCTCCACAGGGTCCGACACATCACCTCCCTTGCCTCCAAACCCATCTGTTCCGTGCTCCTCTTCCCCGATGAGCAGGCCGTATCTCTGAAGGAACTCCCAGTACGGTAGTCTGAGATAGGAAACAAACATGATACACTCCAAACTGTACATGTTTTACTTTTGTACAGATCATGACTTCTCCTTTGCAAATATCTGCATGAATCTCACATCACACCTTTACCCACCAGCGTAGGAGTCAGTGGGAATTTAGAGACAGAGGCTACCTGCAATGTCAACAACTCACCTGGTAGAGAGTCTCCACTGTCTCAAGGATGTTGTCAACAACTCACCTGGCAGAGTGAGTGAGTGAGTGAGTGAGTGAGTGAGTGAGTGAGTTAGTGAGTTTAGTTTTACGCTGCACTCAGCAATATTCCAGCTATATGGCGGCAGTCTGTAAATAATCGAGTCTGGACCAGACAATCCAGTGATCAACAGCATGAGCATCGATCTGCGCAATGGGGAACTGATGACATGTGTCAACCAAGTCAGCGAGCCTGACCACCGAGTCGCCTCTTACGACAAGCATGGGTTGCCAAAGATGGATTCTAGCCTGGATCTTCACGGGTCTCACCTGGCAGAGAAACTCCACTGTATCCAGGATGTTGTCAACAACTGACCTGGCAGGGAATCACCAATGTTTCAAGGATGTTGTCAACAACTGACCTGGCAGGGAATCACAAATGTTTCAAGGATGTCATCAACAACTCACCTGGCAGAGAATCTTCACTGTCTCAAGAATGTTGTCAACAACTCACCTGGTAGAGAATCTCCACTGTCTCCAGGATGTCGTCAACAACTCACCTGACAGAGAATCTTCACTGTCTCAAGAATGTTGTCAACAACTCACCTGGTAGAGAATCTCTCACTGTCTCAAGGATGTTGTCAACAACTCAACTGGTAGAGAGTCTCCACTGTTTCCAGGATGTCGTCAACAACTCACCTGGCAGAAAATCTCCACTGTCTCCAGGATGTTGTCAACAACTCACCTGATAGAGGATCACCACTGTCTGTTGGACGTTGTCAACAACTCACCTGGCAGAGAATCCCCACTGTTTCAAGGATGTTGTCAACAACTCACCTGGCAGAGAATCTTCACTGTCTCAAGGATGTTGTCAATAACTCACCTGGTAGAGTATCCCCTCCTGCATATCTCCACTGTCTCTAGGATGCCGTTAGCCTTCAGCTGTTGGAGAACGAAGGCTGGATCCACTTGGCCTGGCTTGCTGTCTCTGTTAGGCTTGATACAGCGGACGTAGTGGACATCGCATGACTTGAGTGTTGACAATAGACCGTCAAGAGAAACCTGACAAAGACAATGATATAGTTTGACCTTTTCTTGTCTGGAATCGCTGTGGCATGAAAGTGTTTATGTCATGACAATTCAAATGAAGAGAAGTTTGCTTCTCAGGTATGCAAATGGACTCATTTCGAATGCTATGAAAACTGAAACATGCTGGGATCACAACTTATATTTGAAAAACACTGCTTAGATTTGTAAAGCACTGCTTATATTTGAAAAACACTGCTTACATTTGAAAAAACACTGCTAACATTTGAAAAACACTGCTAAGATTTGAAAAACACTGCTTAGATTTGAAAAACACTGCTTATATTTGAAAAACACTGCTTAGATTTGAAAAACACTGCTTATATTTGAAAAAAACTGGTCTTACCTTGAATTTAGTGAGGACAGTTTTCCTCTTTCTGCCTGACACCTCAACAGTGTGGAACTCTTCAAACAATTGAGAGAGGAAAGTGTTGCTACTCTGCTGCAGCAACCGCACCAACTCCACCGGAATGTTGTCCTGTAACATCAACATCCTACTGTATCCATGGCAACACGGCCTCCACATCAACATCCTACTGCATCATGACAAAATAGGATCACATGACACTTTAATGTATCCATGACAACATAGCCTCTCATCAACATGGTACACTCAGCTGTATCCATGACAACATGGCACCTACATCAACATCCTAATGCATCAATGACAACGTGGCCTCACTCAAGTATGCTCGCATCAGCACTCTCCTGCACCCATCACAAACGGGCATTGTCCATAACACAATAACACAACAAACTTCCTGTTATCTTGGTGTACAAAGTTTATTTCCACTATTCCTTCCTACTATGTTTATGAAATCACATTCCTTCTGCAGGGTGATGAAACAGGGTGCCCTTGAAGTGTACTGTCTACTTACTTTGTTTTTGGTGGTGATTTGCTCCAAGTCGTAGCGGACATCTCCAGCATAGTGTTGTATGACAAAGCCTGGATGTGTGGAGAAGGTCTTGGGGCGCTTGATGGCGGTATGGCTGTTGACACCCAGCACCCTCTCCCCGAGACTCCGAGGGTTAGACTTCCTGCTGAGGTATACTTCCTGGAAGAGTACAACAGTACGTCTTTAATCCACACATACAGACTGGTGTAACTACAACCATCAAAGTTCAACAATGTAACAAGATACTGATAAAACACAGAGTCAATCTGAGATATCAGGGATTTATCTGGGATTCCAAACTCTCCATAACAGGAAAGTTGGAGACAAAATGATCATTATTTCCTTCAAAAGTGGATATACATAAGTCACCATACCATTAGTTGGAACTATGAAATGAAGTGCAGATTTACTGATTCCATTATGAGAACTTGTACTGAGATGTTTGACAAACATATGCCTAGTTTAGGCTTCTGAGCAAGGGCCAATTCCAGAAAGTGATCACAGCGTCATGTTGTCAGAAGCCTATGTTAAAGAATGGGAGTTATGATCATCTTAACACTAAGATAACTTTCTGGAACTTGGACCTGATATATGTATTACACTTGGATGGTCAATATACAATGTATAGCAATCAGATTTTCAAAGAAGGACTGTACCTCATTCAATACACCAAACACTCCCGCTCTTCCCTCCAGCACATCAAGACACACCTGGTTGTCATGGTAATCAATATGCTGCCATGGAATATGCTCAGCTTCATACTCTGTCTATATATAGCAAAGAAAGGGACAGATAATCACAAACACCAATAGCAAACAAAGACATCAATCAAGAAATGACACTTTACCGCATTACAATATTTGTTTGAAGTTGGTGCATGAGGCATTGATTGCAGAGTTTCCAGTCATGGAAGACTAGTTTTGATGACTTGATAAAACTGGGGCCAACTTATCAGTGTGAGTTGTGAATATTTAGCAATATTCCAGCAATATCACGGCAGGGGACACCAGAAATGAGCTTCACATATTGTTCCCATGTGGGGAATTGAACCCAAGTCTTCAGCATGACAAGCAAATGCTTTAACCACTGGGCTATCCCACCGCCCCTTCCGCCAACTTATCAGTTTGGTTACTAACATTATGATAAACAGTGTATTGCATCTCTAGTATTGGTGTGGCCACAACCCACCTGCAGGTCACCCAGGAAATGGCCAACATAATGCTGTTGTAGCTTCTCATTGGCATAATTGATACACAGCTGTTCCAGACTGTTGATGTCAAACATCTCAAAGCCATAGATGTCCAGTAACCCTGGAAACAAACACACCTTTCATATCACATTAATGATGATAGTGGGTGAGTGGTTGGGTGAGTGAGTGAATGGTTGAGTTTGTGAGCAGTTTAGTGTTTGAGTAAATGAGTGTTTGAGTTAGTGAGTGACTCAGTGTTTCAGCTCTGTTCCAGAGTGTTAGAGTGATGTTGGATGAGGCATAGTTATAATTGTTTAACACTTTGATGCAAACTTTGAGCATGGCATGGGGCTTGTGAATGCAGATTTTGTTTTCAATGCTAATTGCAAATTGTATTTATAATTTTCTTTTCCAAAAGTAGTTTTCTGTCATTTAAATTACATTTCAATTATATTCTAACAAGTTACCAAAAAGCAAGAAGTAATTTCAGTGGCCTTTTCATGTAATCAGTTTTCATAAGAGCCTAGCAGAAAGTCTAGAGCTTGGGCATTGTGCGGTCATGTGACCCACAGCATGTGCAGTTCATGCAATCCAGCCACATGGCATAACAGTGGAAGGCCTCAAGGTGTACAGATGTGTGAATGATGTCAAGAGTGTTGGAACACAAATGTAAGTTTATTTTATGTATATTTGAGGTTATCTGTCAATTCTGAAGGTGTTTGAGTAATGACTTATTTTGAGTATAGTATTTTATCATGCTTATGGTTATTGAATAGGAATTTGAATTCTAAAGTAATGTTTGCATTTCATTGCAGAAATAATTCTATTCTCAATTCATGTTTTCATTTGAATTATTATTCAGCCAATGTAACTTCTAACCTAGCAGTAATTATGCCGGAAAGAGTTCCTCCCGTTCCCCCATCCCAAATAATATTTAAAAATATACTAAAATTATTAACAAAACTTAACACAACAATTACTAGAGAACTCACAAAATGACCAAAAGTCCAAAATTTAAGTTAGGTTTAGGTTTAGGGTTAGGTTTAGGGTTAGGTTTAGGGTTGGGGGAACAGAAGGAACTCTTTCCATTATGCCTTAAAGTTATGCTGCTGTAAGTAATTTGTTTGAGAAACTGTTTTATGGTACCTTCTGTCAAAGCATATTTAGTAAGGTATCTTTTGTTTCTTTTTAGTTTCTGAACCTTGCCATTTAATGAACAATGGTCTATCTAAAGGCTAATGGAAGAGACCAGCTTTAATGTTACCATAATTCATGGATTTGTGTAGCATTGTGCCGACAGTTTCTAACCGTCCCTTGACATGTGGACTTCAATGTCGTCAAGGTTATAGTGCCAAATTGTCACCAGTACAACCAAATGCCACAAGCGTTAATAAACGAACATGACGAATATGCTCTAGTGAATAAACTTTGTTAACTGGTGTGAGTTTTTCAGATTTGTAGTTCTTGCATCAACAGGGCTTAGAAAACCCCCAAAGTAGGTCAAACCAGGACTAACCCCAGGATCAGAGATTTCTTGGGACAGCAACAATAAGCATTGAAGAGGGTTCAGCAAGTTTGAGATGGCAATGTGTATAGTGAGATATTATTAGCATATTTTGTGAAACAGGTTGTAAAATTTTTCTAATGTTTCTCACCAATCATGCCTGAGTGCCCCTCAGATTTGATCTGCTGATTGAGGAAGTCTACCAACCAATCAAACAATCTGAAAGGAAAAAATATATACTCTGTTGTATACATAGAACAATGTATACATACTATTTATTCAGAAGATTGTTATGTTGCAATGAGGAAATGTCATCCATATCCTTAAACAAGATAAACTAGCGAGTGATAGCATGAGCAACAGTCTACATCCACCAGGGTTTGGGCTGTAACAACTCACCAAGCAACAATCTACAGCCACCAGGGTTAGGGCTGTAACAACTCCCAAGCAACAATCTACAGCCACCAGGGTTCAGGCTGTAACAACTCACCAAGCAACAATCTACAGCCACCAGGGTTTGGGCTGTAACAACTCACCAAGCAACAATCTACAGCCACCAGGGTTAGGGCTGTAACAACTCACCAAGCAACAATCTACAGCCACCAGGGTTAGGGGGCTGTCAACAAGCAACAATCTCACCAGGGTTAGGGCTGTAACAAGCAGCAACAATCTACAGCCACCAGGGTTCGGGCTGTAACAACTCACCAAGCAACAATCTACAGCCACCAGGGTTAGGGCTCGGGCTGTAACAATCTACTCACCAGGGTTAGGGCAACAATCACTACATCCACCAGGGTTAGGGCTGTAACAACTCACCAAGCAACAATCTACAGCCACCAGGGTTAGGGCAACAACTCACCAAGCAACAATCTACATCCACCAGGGTTCGGGCTGTAACAACTCACCAAGCAACAATCTACATCCACCAGGGTTAGGGCTGTAACAAACAACTCACATCCAAGCAACAATCCAAGCAACATCCACCAGGGTTCGGGGCTGTAACAACTCACCAAGCAACAATCTACATCCACCAGGGTTCGGGGCTGTAACAACTCACTCACTCTGTAAACAACTCACAAGCAACAATCACCTACATCCACCAGTAACAACTCACCAAGCAACAATCTACATCCACCAGGGTTCGGGCTGTAACAACTCACCAAGCAACAATCTACAGCCACCAGGGTTCGGGCTGTAACAACTCACCAAGCAACAATCTACATCCACCAGGGTTGGGCTGTAACAACTCACCAAGCAACAATCTACATCCACCAGGGTTCGGGCTGTAACAACTCACCAAGCAACAATCTACATCCACCAGGGTTCGGGCTGTAACAACTCACCAAGCAACAATCTACATCCACCAGGGTTAGGGCTGTAACAACTCACCAAGCAACAATCTACATCCACCAGGGTTAGGGCTGTAACAACTCACCAAGCAACAATCTACATCCACCAGGGTTCGGGGCTGTAACAACTCACCAAGCAACAATCTACATCCACCAGGGTTAGGGCTGTAACAACTCACCAAGCAACAATCTACATCCACCAGGGTTAGGGCTGTAACAACTCACCAAGCAACAATCTACATCCACCAGGGTTAGGGCTGTAACAACTCACCAAGCAACAATCTACAGCCACCAGGGTTTGGGCTGTAACAACTCACCAAGCAACAATCTACAGCCACCAGGGTTAGGGCTGTAACAACTCACCAAGCAACAATCTACATCCACCAGGGTTCGGGCTGTAACAACTCACCAAGCAACAATCTACATCCACCAGGGTTAGGGCTGTAACAACTCACCAAGCAACAATCTACAGCCACCAGGGTTAGGGCTGTAACAACTCACCAAGCAACAATCTACATCCACCAGGGTTAGGGCTGTAACAACTCACCAAGCAACAATCTACATCCACCAGGGTTAGGGCTGTAACAACTCACCAAGCAACAATCTACATCCACCAGGGTTAGGGCTGTAACAACTCACCAAGCAACAATCTACATCCACCAGGGTTAGGGCTGTAACAACTCACCAAGCAACAATCTACATCCACCAGGGTTAGGGCTGTAACAACTCACCAAGCAACAATCTACATCCACCAGGGGGGCTTCGGGCTGTAACAACTCACCAAGCAACAATCTACATCCACCAGGGTTCGGGCTGTAACAACTCACCAAGCAACAATCTACATCCACCAGGGTTCGGGCTGTAACAACTCACCAAGCAACAATCTACAGCCACCAGGGTTAGGGCTGTAACAACTCACCAAGCAACAATCTACAGCCACCAGGGTTAGGGCTGTAACAACTCACCAAGCAACAATCTACATCCACCAGGGTTAGGGCTGTAACAACTCACCAAGCAACAATCTACATCCACCAGGGTTAGGGCTGTAACAACTCACCAAGCAACAATCTACAGCCACCAGGGTTAGGGCTGTAACAACTCACCAAGCAACAATCTACATCCACCAGGGTTAGGGCTGTAACAACTCACCAAGCAACAATCTACATCCACCAGGGTTAGGGCTGTAACAACTCACCAAGCAACAATCTACATCCACCAGGGTTAGGGCTGTAACAACTCACCAAGCAACAATCTACAGCCACCAGGGTTAGGGCTGTAACAACTCACCATGCAACAATCTACAGCCACCAGGGTTAGGGCTGTAACAACTCACCAAGCAACAATCTACAGCCACCAGGGTTAGGGCTGTAACAACTCACCAAGCAACAATCTACAGCCACCAGGGTTAGGGCTGTAACAACTCACCAAGCAACAATCTACAGCCACCAGGGTTAGGGCTGTAACAACTCACCAAGCAACAATCTACATCCACCAGGGTTAGGGCTGTAACAACTCACCATGCAACAATCTACATCCACCAGGGTTCGGGCTGTAACAACTCACCAAGCAACAATCACAGCCACCAGGGTTAGGGCTGTAACAACTCACCAAGCAACAATCTACATCCACCAGGGTTAGGGCTGTAACAACTCACCAAGCTTTTGGTTTTGAGATCATAATAAACAGGTATGAAGGAAGAGGTTTTATAGTTGTCATCATGTTGCACTGTTTGATGTTGTGGTATAGTTGTCAGTCCATGTGGTTCATCATATTGCAAAAATCAATCGATACTCTGCTCATCAGGGTACCATGAGATGCCACAGTGGTACAGCCAGTGAGTGTAGTGTGAGAGAGAAACTCCTGCCACAGTGGTACGCCTAAGTGAGTGAGTCAAATTCAACAAACAGTACAAGAGAATTGTTTGTGGCGAATGTGTAGAGCCTGTTGTTGTTATTCGGCAAGTTAGATGTGGTGCGGCCAATCAAATTGTGTCTTGGTGTCACATGGTAAATGTTTAGACACAAGCACAAAACATGGTTTCATCTGCTTCAAAGAAACTATGCCTCGATTTTACACAGAAGGAAATGGAGCTCACTATCTGAGTCAGGGAACACAATGGAATATTACGAGCAGGGAGTATTTCCAAAGAGAAAAGAGGAATGCTGCACTGACAGCAAAGCCTGGCATTTCCGGAAAAGTCACTAACGTCTTCTTCATATAGTATCGTGCAGCAGATAACTGCTGCTAAGTCTACTTCAGATATTTTGATACCTAGGAAACAATACGAGATAGTTTGAGATCGACACTAATGTATTACAATGTATGGAATTCGGCAGGTCGTTATCTAAGGTAGAGATGCTTTTAACTTTTTTTATTTTATATATGACACTGAAAAACATAGGACATGATCACTATAACCGTACATTAGTCTGTGACAATACCTGGAGTACAGCAGCATGGCGAGACAGTCCCGCCGAGTGCGAGCATCAGCGATTGAGACTGGTTTCACGAAGACACTGCGGCGCTTGCTGCCCCCAGACTCGATACTACGGTGGAGAAGCACCTGCTCTAGAGTGTCTGCAGACACGCCCAATAGGTGGCAGCACTGCACTCTTGCCTCGCAGGTTGCTGGACCATAAATACATACTTGACGTCAAAATGGAAGCATTACATTTGTGCACACACATGTGCATATGTAACGCATGTACAAAGCAACCAGCAAATGCTTGGGGAATACAGGCTGCAAGAAAGTAGGGATTAGGAATAATTTTATATGTTGAGCAGCTAGCTGTTAATTATTTACGTAATTATTTTCTTTTGTGAGCTTACTCAAGCTGTTGTTTAAATGAAGTCACATTAATCTGTGACATTATGAACAATCAGTGACATTATTTTCAGTTAAATGAAACATACAAATTGTTATAGGATAGGGGCCTATTTGGAAACAATGAAAAGATTGGAACAAACTAACCAATCAACATGAAGTCTAAACATTAATGCTCAGTGAGAATAACAAAACTATTTACACCTGCATCACCACCTTTGAGGGTTGGGTTGTGCATTGGTAAAAACTGTACTGAAATATATTGCTGTTACTATTGCGATATATTGGGAGCTGAAGTGTTTGACAGTAAGTGGCACTGATTGCATATGACTAGTTTCATCTCAAGTGACTATGTTTTTAATTCTGTGCGCTTCGAGCATTTACTGTGAATGGAAACAGCGCAGTACAAATGGACTATAATAATAATAATAATATACAGATCCTATTTACTACATACTAAGGCCAAAAACCCAAATGATATAGTTCTGATAACATCCATCTAAAACATTGGTGGGATAGTTGGGGATACTTTCCTTTTTATACAATTCATTGCATTTTAAGTATGCTGTTTTATCAATTAATAACATTGAAAACATCCCATGTGGTCAAAAGTCTGAGTACATTTGAACTTAAACCACAGAGATTACTACGACAAACATGTTCAAATGTTTTACCCAATGTACCATTTCTCAGACAAAATATCGCACTACGTACTGTTGAGGAGCATATTGAGGTATACGGGTCAACCGGTAATACTATGCAGTCCTATTTAAGTAATATCTAAATGTCTTCATCCATGCAAGATGTTAACAAAAGCTTATTTATCACTGATTTACATGTCATCAGAAAGTGGACTGTAGCAACCTTCTGTCAGGCTTTGAATTGTCAGAGAAAATTTGTCATATTGTTTGTAATGCAAACCAGATTGGAAACCTGGAAACCATGTCTCTGTAAGTTAATATCTTGTGTTCTTTAAAAGCAGAAGGCAGTTGAATGTGAGAATGTACTCAACTGGTGTCCGTGAGACAACCCACTGATTTCTTCCACGAGCAAAGATCCAAGCTATTGCTGTACAATCAGACATATTCACCCTCTCATCAATCCCCTAAATTGCCTACAACTAAGGTCTGTAGCGACCAATTCTAAACCCAAATCCCTCAATGAAGGACAAGTCAATCAGAAAAGCTCAACTAATCTTTGACCAGGTGAGCTAACACACAGCAACAAACAAATCAATCATATCAACATAACCACTACCTGACAGCTCCAGACACGATCGCTCCAGGAAGGACATCTGAGCTGTAACCATGGTAACCATGCAATAAGTTTGTTTACACTCACATAGTGTAATCCTTTGAAATCATGAACTTTGATTTAATTAAGAACTGACTTAAACATCTTTAATATGGGAGTAAAGTGGTTAAGGAGTTCGCTCCTGACGCCGAAGACCTGGCTCAGAATCTCCACATGGGCACAATGTTTGAAGCCCATTTCTGGTGGCCCCCGCCATGATATTGCTGGATTATTGCTAAAAGCAGCGTAAAACTAAACTCACTCACTCAAATCACTATAGTGCATGACATGTTTTACCTGATTGTGAGCTGAGTCTGCTGTAGTCCTCATCTTCAGCTGTGAAGTCTACGTTACACAGGAACAAAACAGCTGCAATAACCTGCAAGACATAGAGAGAAAATACAATGAAGTGTAAAAAAGGAGCAATTTATTCTCGTGATTGAATAAAATCAGTACTAATGCCGTACTTTAACAATCCTTGCCGTAGAACGACAGACAACACCATATGTCTATCAGTAGAAGTCATTGTTTGATGTACCTCTAACACACTGTTGTAGATGGTCAGACAAAACTACATGCCTATCAGACAGATCACTGTTTGATGCACCTCTGACACACTATGCTGTTCAAGGTCAGACAGATCACTGTTCACCCTACCTGTAGCACAGCTTGCTGCAGATGGTCGGACAAACCGATGTCAGACATGGCCTCCAGGGTAGTTTGCAAGGATTTTCTTTCTGTTACTCCTGAAACATGTTAGGTATGTGGTGTTTTAAACCAGGATTCAAAGACTGTAAACAAATTAATACATATTGAGTACAGTTTCCACAATGAATAAACAGGTAAAAATGTCAAGATTCTTTAATGAAGAAGGTAACATTGGAATATACAAAACATGTATTCAGTCATTTTCAGTTGATTGCTTATACCGGCATTGACATGTACATAATGGTTAACACACTAGTATACTGTGTATGTAATTATCATAATTATACTTGATGTATCACCTTCCTTCCTGGGTACAATGTTGAAACTGTGGCCCTGTAGTAGAGCTCTCAGCTGACACACCCATCCTGGCTGCTCTGTGTCAGGGACACTACTTGAAGCTCCACACAGCTGCGATAACATCAGAAAATGACATATAGCAAACCCAAATGTCGTACAAAATCAGTTGAATGATCAGAATTATTATCCACTTTATATGTGTCTAGATGGGGTGAAGTTGATGACTTTCTAACATATATTAGAAAGAAATCAGTCACACTGAATGCAGAATAATGATATTGTCATAAATCAGATCATAACAATCTGTCTCACTGACTGCTTTATATAAGCTACATGTTGGAATTGGAAGTATCTCGTCAGTACTAATGTACTTCATTGATTGCATCTGGTGACTATTAGTCGGAGGAGGGGTTAGAACTCAATATTTTCTGTCAATTCATCCCCTGTTAATATACATTCCAAAAAGGTACGGTATAGTGGTACTTCTGTTTACATTGGTAGAGTACCGGTATGTCCAGAGAGGTATCGAGGACTCAAAACCCCCTGGCAACAGACACTGTTGGGTTTGGAAACCTGGATAAGTATGAAAGTCTATACCTCTTTATTTACCACAAAAATACAGTTCTGATAATCATACAACTCCGAAACTGGAAATATGAAATTCCTGTGATGTGAGTGTGGTGTGTAACATGGAAAGCTGACCTGATAGAAGATGTGGAAGTTACAGTCTCCAGAACCTTGGTGGACAACTCTGGTCTTCTCTAGGAGGTAAGTCTCTATCACCGCTCCCTGTACATGGACCGCTTCTAAAACATGTCATCCCATGTCTACTTATTGCATATGTTAATCTCTCAAGGGAGACTACTCTAACTGTTCTCTGAACATGGTCAGTCCTGCAAAAATGTCATCCCATGTCTACTCTTTTGGAGGGGTTAATCCTTCAAGGGAGACTACCTTAACTGTTCTCTGCACATGGTCAGTCCTGGAATGTCATCCCATGTCTACACTGTTGGAGACATAAATCATTCAAGGGAGACAACTCTAACTGTTGTCTGCAAATGGTAGATGAAAACCACAGTGGCTAAGTCTGTTAGATTGCTCACTATGTGTGCTGGTGATCAGGTTCCTGACTGATCATGTGGGTTTGAATCCTGGAAGGCAGGGGTGGAAATAACCCATTGCCCAATGTCCGAGTCCAGTGTTTTTTTCTGTCGGGCAAGCAAATTTGTGTAATACAATCAAGTATAACACTGATTTTCTCACCTCTGAATCTGCAGCTGAATGAATTTCCCAAATCTTGAACTGTTGTTATTTCTTGGTGTAACAGCATTACCTAAAGTGATGAAAACGACTGTTGTACTGGATATAGTCATGTGTAAAGATGTCTGTAGATTTTTGTATTCCTTACAAATACAATTATATGTGATTATACAGACCTGAGTGGAGTAGATTAAATGTTCTGTAGGGAAGGTGGGGTGAAATGGGGTTTAATATTGCATTAAAGATTATTGCACTTATATTGCAATAAGCATGCACATTGTGTTGGTGCTTGTTCTAGTCTGTCATTTCTTAGCCAAATGAGATATCATGTCACAGCTTAACATGAATACCCCATACAAACCCAATACACCAACTCTGAAACCACTTGCCAGAGTTATGTCCCCTTGAAGCTGAGGGCCAGGCTGGGTAACAACAGTTATCCAGCCTCATGTAAGAATGTCGAGTTTTGATTGGTTCACATGACTCTGATAAAATACCATGTACACCCGTCACGATCCACGAGCAGGGAGTACAAAAGTCATATTATCCCGCCACGCATCGGTGACCACGTGAAGTGAGAAAAGCATGCATCGCCAAGCCTTTAGTAACGTGCGCTGCATTGAGGTCAATCGATCAGCTGGTGTCAACATGGCAACAAGGAAACGTTTCACCACAACAACTGAGAATGAAATTGAAGCAAAACGTTTGATTTAGTAAAAACATTCGGCTAGATAAATGCGTTATCACATCGTGTCTCGGGGAGTTACGGAGTTTTATCAGTCCCTCATAAGGTTGTATTCCACTCCCCGGATACAACCTTACGAGGGACTGATAAAACCCAGTATTTCCCGAGACATGATGTGATAACTTATAGTATCATCATTCAATGTCCTGCTATTGCACTGTCACAGATCAAACAACAGACCTTCTGGGCAAACAGTCTCTCCAAAAGAAAATGTATGGTCTTGGAATTTAGAATGTATTAAGTGTTATCTCAAACTTTGAGTTATTTACTTTTTGCCAGCACTTATCCCATTCTACATTCTATTGTTCGATAGACATAGCACTGTGGTTAGGATTACCATAAACAATAATGCTGCAGATTCATCTAATCTGGACAATTGTCAACACATTTCATTTCAATATATAATCAGGACACTGTTACCAAATGCCTCTAGGATGGGATTGGAGTCTAGGATTCTCCTCTCAATGGCCTTGCCCTTTCCTGTACATTCAGAAAGTTTTCTGAAACAAAAGAAATGTGTCACTCACACCTCTTAAATGAAGGTCAATATTCACATGACAAAAATTAAAACGAGATGTATCTTGGTATCAACACTGAGACAACAATGAAAGGGTCGAGGATCTAAATGTCTAAATATCCCACTTGCAATAACAGTGTAGTAACAGGAATTTGTCGAACATTCAATGAACATAACTGAATTAATCAGTAGGAAAAATGGTTCTCAAACTGTTTCCGTCTGGATGCCTTTTTGGACCAGACCGCCTCCGTGGTGTAGTGGTTAGAGCGTCCGCCCAGAGTGCGGAAGGTTGAGGGTTCGATCCCCGACCGCGTCATACCAAAAGACGTTAAAATATGGTACTTGTTGGTCCCTGTCTGGCGCTCGGCATTAATGGGTACAACAAGGACTGGTCGGCTCGGAGTCAGTATAATGTGTCTGAGTGGGGTATTCATGCTTCACTGCGGCATGGTATCTCAGTGGGCTAGCACTATAAAACCAGCTTCAGTCTGGACTAGTACAAGCAGCCGCACATATACATACACACGCATGCACGTCGTCATATGAGCGAAATATTCTCAAGCATGACGTTAAACCCAATTCCACCACCACCTTTTTGGACCATAACATGGTTATTTATATGGATATATATATATATGCAACATTAAACAAACCTGTCCCAGTGAAGGTCTGTGAGAGGGTTGGCCACCACTGTCAGATATCTCAGCAGGTGCTTGGCAGACACAGTCTGGAAGACAGCGAAAATGCATATCATGCTCTAAGCTTATGTACATTTTGCCAACAGAATCTCAAACAAATCACATTTTCATTTTTCATCAACACTGATGAACTTAGGTCTGACCCTGTGGATGACTGACTGACTGACTGACTGAGTTTTGGTTTTACGCCGCTTTTAGCAATATTCCAGCAACATCACGGCGGGGGACACCAGAAATGGGCTTCACACATTGTACCCATGTGGGGATTCGAACCCGGGTCCTCGGCGTGACGAGCCAACGCTTTAACCACTAGGCTAAACCCCCCCCAGGATGAAGGCATTGTCAAATCTTCACACAGCATCAAAGAAAAAGATCAGATTTTATACAGTTTGATTATAGAATGAAATATAAAAAACAAAACAGCCATAAAAAGAATCATACAAAAAGTCTTTTGTTTTATTACTGTATGAAAGCATTAAATGACATGAGTATGTAAATACTATCATATTGTTTACATGTATAGATAATTTTTAATATCTCAGTTTACATTACATGACAGTCAACTCACCTTGCCTGCCCCACTCTCTCCACTGACAATGATGCACTGTCCGTGGGGGTGGGAGTCTTGCTGTAGGCGACTGTGAGCTTCCTCTGCAATCTCATAGATGTGTGGGGCCCTTGATTCCTGCAACAGCATCAACCATCCAGGATATCAAGATATTTATATCTGAAGTTGTTCAGCATGCAATCAATGCAATAACGTTAAACTAATGAAGGTTATAATACCTACCTGTTTGCTGGCTTGTCGTATGCAGTATGCCTCTACAGTGTCAAGTGAGTAAAGATCTGGGATGTCCTTGAACGGATTGACAGCCACCACTGTAGATCCAGCCTTGGTGTATATACAGTCCAGCTTGAACCTCTCCCACAGACAGTGCAGGACTAGAGGCATGACAAACGAGAAATTTTACAGGTGCTTCAGCCACTACATACCAAACACTCTAAGCTAAATTAGAGCCTGCACTGCAATGTCTGCTTTCTGACATGATGCAACTTCATTTCTCTTCTTTCTCAATAACTTTGATCTTACATGAAAACTGACACAGATTCCAAATAAAGTCCTTTGTTAGTACTCCCTTAAGTGTAGACTTCATGATGCTTCGAGACATCACTGTGTAAAAAATAACACATACTATGATGCAAGTAACAACATGGCCTTCACATTTTTCATTCATGACTGTCTGACATTAACTCCCCAACTCTCACACACCAGCTGAGTTATCTGAGTGCAGTAAGCCATGGTTGTAACAGACTCCTCTCACTAATGTTTGTTATAACTGTAGTTTGTTGTATGTGTTTCAACTATAATGTACAGCAAGTGGCCAGGACAAAGCTTTATCCATCTGTTTCTTATGAGAATGGTTATGATAAACATAGTTTACTGTATATGACTTTATGTACCTGTGGCTTCATTGAGGGGAGCAAGGTCTGACAAGCGCTCGGTGCTACACAGAGGGACACTGGAACAATGGAGGACATCCTCTTGTCTACACTCCAACTCCTGCAGGACAAACATCAGGGGTTCAATTTTTTTTTAAAAAGCCGATTGCCACAGGGCAAGTGACTTTAAGAAAGTAACTTGTCCGGACTAATTATCCACTTTCCCTGATTTTATGAAGTAATTATGATGATGTAATTATGAAAGAAGAAATCAACATCGTATTTGATGTTAATGTTTACTGGACTATTTATTGAAAAGTGATAAATAGCAAAGAAAGATAACTCTACTTTACTATCATTGCAAAATTTAATAGCTACATTTTGAGCAGATATGAAATTAAATTAAAGATTATTTGCAGTTTGAAACCATAAGTGGAAATTATCTAGTAGCCCACGGACAAGTAAGATACCATTATTTGATTGCCCAAAATGAAAACTGACTTGTCCCGGGTGTCTGGTGATGGGATTTTTGAACCCCTGAACATATACACACCAATACAACAAACAACATATAGACCTATATTTGTCACCACAGTTTGTCACAGGGGACAGGGAAAGAATTCATTTCATTCAGTAGGTGACTGTGTGTGATGCGGACACATGATGATGTTCAGCACTGCAACAGTTCCCATCAGTGTCTTCAGCTGCATCAATGTGTTTATCTTACAGACATTGTGTGTGAAAACATACTCTTGCATGTTGTGTGCCAACCATTCCTTGTTAAGACCAACATCAGCCAGGGCAACAACAAGTACAAGTTTTTGGCATGACAGCAAGGGAAGTAAACAACTAACCTCCAGTTATCCTGTCTTTCCACTACACCATCCTAACAAGATGCACCAAAATAATGGCAGTACAAGCAACTATAGAAACTACTTGCAACTAATATCAACAGAATAGGAGCATTACCATAATCTTACCTTTTGTAAGAAAAACTCTAAAAGACAAAGTTATTGAAAACAAATTACATAAATGTGTGCTTATACATCATTAGGTGTACCACACAGATATCTTACCTCCCCTGAGGTAGTCTCTGCAACAAAAGCCCTGTTACCATTGCTACCGGTGGCACTTCTCACATCTTTCAGAACAGCAGTTTCCCAACCATGATGTTTGCTTCTTATATAAATCTGTTGTCCCTGTTTTAGAAAACGGTTGGAATTAACAAACTAGAACCACTTTAAAAGAACAATAGTCCTAGTCTTTTGGTCTTTTCAGGAATATTATATTCCTCTATTTGGTGTAATAAGTGTCAGTGTGGGCAAGGAAATTGACTAAGGGGAAATCTTTTCAGAAATACAGTGACAGTGAAGAAAATTGACAGTGTACTAACTAGTGGTGGTCCAATTAATTGAAACAATCGAAGATTGGTCGCAATGATTAAATGACCAAGCAATCGATCATGTTTTCTCATAATCGAAGACAAACAATTTGGGAAGTTATGGAACACTTGCTTGCATTAACAATATTTTTTCACAAGGTTGGCTTTGTATGTTACATTTCATAAGCGCTACAAGCTCGTTCCAAATCATGATTGAATTTATCTTATAGACTTCAAGAAATTTATGTTCCTAACATACTAGTCATATCTTTAAAAATGTGAAATTTGCAAATGCATTTTTTGCAATTTGCAAAAAAATGAAAGAACTTCATGTTTTTTCTTTATTTTTTGTGCATTAACAAACATAACAAGGAAAATTTGATAAATGACGCTGACCAATTAGTTTTGATGATTGATCGGTTGTAATGAACCAATCATCAATTATGAGATTTTAACCAATTCCCAACACTAGTACTAACATTTTTCAATAATAGACCCTTGGTTGTTAAATCCCTTCTGCCCTGCTGTTTTCTGTAAAAAATAGTATAAAGTGCACAAGAAAATATGGACTGTCACATATGTGAGGACACTTGTGGAGACTTCGAAGTTGGTCAGGGGATTCTTTGGGACATGTGCCTCATCACAAAGATTATCCCCCAAAAGAAAGTTTTTTACTCAAAAGACATCATTTGGGCATGTTGCTTTAGACAACACATGTGTACATTCACAACTGAGTAATGATGTAGACGACTGTAATATGACAACCATAGTGCAACAACAACAATAACTTTTGTAAAGAGGCGAAAAAAAGGTTTTCAGTAAACATAGAGGACTGATTGGAGTGATTCATCTAATCCTGCTAAGTGGCTGACAATGGTCCTAAACATGCTAATGACAGCAACATGTGTCTGTAAAAACTCCTAAATCTGATTTGGAGCTTTTCGAATCACTGTTCTAAGATCACCTAACATTGATGCTACAGTTATGTTGGTCATATGTATTTGCCTAGTTCAGCCAGCTAAACGTCTTGTTCCTACCACGGTATACACCAACGCCGGTGTATACCTTGGTAGAACAAGATGTTTAGCTGGCTGAACTAGTATTTGCCCTACCAATATGAAAGATTATCAGTTTGGTATCCTAGATAAATAAGTCCAAAAATTGGCCAAATGTCATTTTTCAAAACGCTGAATAGGTTACTTGGTGACTTCATATGCTGATAATGATATGGAAATGTTATAATCTGACTTACACACTGAATTGTAACTTTGTGTGAGCTGTCATTTTCAGTTTCACTGTTGTCGGGTTTTCTCTTTCGTCTCACTGGTGTACTCTGATCCTGTGAAAAAGGCATATTGTAGGCTGGCTGGATAGTAAAATAGGCTTAGTTTATCGATTTTCTTACCTGTAGTGGGTGCTTATGAAATATGGATCAGAAGTCTTTGAATGACATTGAGAATTGATGTAGTGCTGTGAATGTATGGATGTCAACTTGTTTGTTATAAGGAACACATTTCGGAGCATATGCCTTCTCCATTAATAAGTGAATGAAAGTTCGGATGCACAGAACACATGCGCTAATATGAACCATGAAAGTCAGAAATCGGAATATTCTGAACTGCCTCAACTTGAGGCTCAAATTGAGCTTGGGTCAACTGATTGAGTTTGAAATGAAAAATATTCAAGAGACAAGACCTGCGTAGATCTGTATACATCTCCACGAATAGAGACGTGTTATCAGATAATGACAATTACCATGGTCCCTATTGAACATGTAGTATCTATCTATTCAGCAACACGGAAAATCACGAAACCAGCTAAACTACTGTGTTGACATTTTCATTTAATTTGGCCGCCATTATCTGCATCTGAGTAAACGGGACTTTGATTGGATGGTGATTGACCAATTATTTAATCCCCAAATGTCTACTGTTATTTCATTGGTCAATATTATTGCGATCAAAGGTCTCCGGGAGAGTAGACTGGTACCCTGCCTCGCACCTCTGAGCCTGCTGCAGCTTGCAGTGTTGGGAGGGCAGGCAAACCAGTCAAGAAGGGAGAGCAACGACCTAAGGCGGACGAGCCGAAAACCAGTCAACCACAATCATGGCGTTGAAAGTGTACTATGATTTGTTGTCTCAGCCATCGAGAGCTGTTTATATGTTTATGAAGTTCAACAAGATACCGTTTGAAGATAAACCAGTTGCGTTACGAAAAGGTATGCCACGAACGCAAGTTGCTTTGCATGACATTTTATGTGGCAAAAGTTATTTTATAATTCTGAGAGTTTTTCGACCGATGGAATTTGAACCCGTGAATGACCGGGATTCTAAGACTGAAGTCTATGATATGTACTAGTTGATTGGGACTCGCGACTTTTGTCGGTCTTGACAACACGTGAACTAGTCTAAAAGATATGCCACTGTACGTAGTGCTGAGATTAATATTTTCTCTCAGAAAGTGCAAATTATCACTTACCTTTACGACCATTTTATGATGCCAACATTTCATTTCCTATATGGACTAATAGTTCACTGTTTTTTTATATGAATAATAAAATTATATACATTTAAGAATAATTATCCGAATAACGTAATAACGAGGAGACAAGTGACTTTTAGATCTATAGGTGCAAGGGAAAGTGTAGTAATGATCAGTGTTGGTATGATCTGACTTAAAAAGTTTTGAGTTGTCCCCACTGAAGAGGAGACCTTCTAAGTCAGAAAAATGATATATTTTCTACAATAAATGTTACTTGTCAAAATCACAAATGAGGCTGAAAATTAGTGTCTTTAATAAATGTTTTTCAGAGTATGTCGCCCAGGGACAATCCGGGTTAGAATTGGTCTTTGAACAGCAACCCATGCTTGTCGTAAGAGGCGACTAACGGGTTCGGGAGGTCAGGCTCATCGTATCCCAATTGGGTAGATAGATGCGGATGATGTTGACAACTGGATGGTCTGATCCAGACAAGATTATTTACAGACTGTCACCATGTAGGTTGAATATTCCTGAGTGCGGTGTTAAACAACGAACAAAACAGAGTTATGTCCCCTGCTTTCTGCTTTTCAACTTGCTGGATGTTGCATATAATTGAGAGTTGTCACGGAAACTACTCAGTTAGATGAAATGATGACAAAGTGACACTAGTGCCTATATCTCCTCCTCAGGCTTTATAGGATCTTTGTATTTTATTAGTTTACATTAGCTTCGGTATAAGTCCCAGATTATCGACTACTGTATGAACAAACAAAATTCTAATTTGCCCTGTGGCAGGGAATAGTGATAATGCTCCACTTGTCCATTTTCTTGAAAGGGATCAAGTAGTTGGGTTTGGTTAAAACTGTGACCATCATGCAAACCTTTTCTGTGTTCTATAAGATCATGAAGAGCTATCTGACATCATTGTTGTAATATATAAGTAGCTAGATCATGTCTTACACACTTAAAGGGACAGTATGTCGATTTTTAATCATGACTGAAAACGTTGCCAAGTGTTGTTACATCTGTGGTTCATGTACCGTATGGAGATCTGGGGTAGGAGAAAGTTCTCAAACCCAAAGTATTGAGATCCTTTCAGTGTAGCTGACAACTAGTGGTGGTCCGATTAATTGAAATAATTGAAGATTGGTTGCAGTGACTAAACGACCAAGCAATCGATCATGTTTTCTCATAATCGAAAACAAACAATTCTGGAACACTTTTAGCATTAACAATATTTTTCACAAGGTTGGTTTTGTCAATACATTTCATAAGCACTAAAAGCTTGTTCCAAGTCATGATTATGTTTTTGTGCATTAACAAAAGTAACCAGGAAAAGTTCATAAATGACGCTAACTATTTTCGATGATTGATCGGTTGTAATGAAGCAATCATCAATTATGAGATTTTAACCAATTCCCAACACTACTGACAACACAAGTGTCGTAAAGAGTAACCTGATTTCTGTCTTTTGAGTTGAAGCAAATAAAGAGAAAGGCCATTATTTTGTTTATGGATGATATAGATTTGGAAGCCTGGGTTTATGTGTGCATTGGACATATGAAGTCAATCACTCTTCTACCTCCTGTTATGTGTTACAGGTGAACACTTCACTGAGGAATTTGCAAAGATCAACCCCTTCAAGTTGGTGCCAGTTATTGATGATAATGGGTTCGTGTTGACTGAGAGGTATGATGCCGATTTTAGTCATATAGCTTAGTTCATCATATGACATAATTCTGACATGATTGCTGTAAATTCATGGTTGAAGAAAATCGTGTAGTATTTAAATTGGGACTTCTACAGTTACATGCATAATAAAATATCTTAAACTATCACAAAACTTTTAAAACGCCCATGAGAAGCTCTAATACCCACACACTGTAAGTAGCTGTCCAATATGTCTCATTGAAACTAACACAAGTACTAAGCACAATGTAGACTATGGTAAGTATATAACAATTTTTTTAAAACATAATTGAATTAAACCTCATTTTCATTATTTTTTAAAATTTAAGTTTGTTTATATCTTTATTCTAAATGATAGATAATGTTTATGTTGAAGTATTTGTTTACTTAGTGTTTCTTTGTCAGTGTGGCCATTCTGAAATACCTCTCTTGTAAATACAACTTGCCAGACCACTGGTACCCACGTACGGACCTCCGCGCCCAGGCCAGAGTTGATGAATACTGCAACTGGCAACATCTAAACACCAGAGGCAGCGCTGCCATGCTCTTCCGACACCTTGTGAGTATCAGTGTCACAGTTACCTCCCCTTTCACTAAACTCTGTAGGAGTAAATATTATTTGACACATTTGTTTGTTGCAAACATTTTTCTTTAATATTGATAGACATTTGATGTTGTTGTTTATCTCAAAAGTTAAGAACAGTGAAACCTGCCAACACCGGCACCTGTCTAATCCGGCACACTGTCAAAACCTGCATAAAATTTTGGTCCCGCCATTTTACAATGATATTATGATCATTCAAAACATTGTCTAATCTGGCACCTGTCTTTTCCGTATTCCAGCACGACTTTCCGGTCCCAACAAGCAATTTTAATTGTAATTAAAACTGTCTAAACTGGCATGGGTATGAGCAGTCTAATCAAGGTCCCATAATCCAATACACTAATTAATCCTCTAGGCACGCTAGATAATCAGGAAGTAGTGATTGCACGTTGAATCAAACGCTCTAAGCAGGCATGGACATGAGCAGTCCAATCAAGGTCCCTTAATCCAATACACTCCTCTCGCCAAGCCAGATAATCAGCAAGTAGTGATTGCGCGATGGATCAAACGCCCGTAGGATTACTGCCGTTATGCTTTATAAACACTGGGGGATGGCAGGGGCGTAGCTACCATTACAAAAAAAGCCAGACCTTACACATGATTGTTGCTAATAAGGTTGGACAAGTCCTGAATACTATCTAAATATATAGCTTTGCAACCTATCAGGCTTACACGAAAAAATTAGCTTCCTATTCCCCTGGATTGCATTAACAGTTTTCAAGAGATTGACAAGTGTAATTGGCAGCCATGTTGGAAAATGATCGTCACTGTCTAATCCGTCACCCTGTCTAAACCGGCATTTTATATTGAACATAATATAGACACGACCCATGGACCTGTTTAGACAGGTTTCATTGTGTAGTGTTTATCTATCATATGAAGTGTAGTCCCAAAGATAACATATGTTATATCATATGAAGGCATGGGAGTTAACTGACTTTTAGTTTCTTTTGGGGTTTTTTTTGTTAAGGTTTTTCTAAATGTTGGGAGTACTCCAAAAGCCATTTACACCAAGTATCATCATATATGGATATTTTGGTATAACATGGGTGGGATCTAGTCACCATCCTTCCAATCTCTTTGTCTGGCTAAAAACACCTGATTATCAGAAATATATGTGGATGGGTAGATTTATTAGTGATTATCGATGTGAAAATTGTGTCATCGATAATATTTGAGGTAAATTATTTATATTACCTCACACAATACACAAGGTTACATCTTTATTCATGGGTCGTGTCTACATTATGTTCTAAATGCTCTTCTTGTTAGTAATCCATGCCTACATGTGTCACCACTCATCGCTGACCTGAAATTTGTTGATTTTTTCTGGACTTGGGTCTGTATTTTGTTCAATATTTTCGATAATTAATTGATATTTAGTTAACACTAATTGGTCTCTATGATTTATACCGATAGCCAGTCCTAGCCAGTAGACGCTGGGGATGGTGTATATTTTTGTGATTTAACTCGTTATGACAGTGTCCATATAGTTGAGAATCGATGTATTTGTATGATATGTGTATGTCTTCATGTGTTTGTTTCCAGCTGATCCTCCCCCGGGCAACGAATGAGCCAATCGACATGGGTAAGGTTGAGAAATGTCGCAAAAATGTGCGTTCAGTTGTCACTGGTTTGGAGAAATATTACCTGAAATCCCAGCCATTCCTCTGTGGGAATGACATTTCCATAGCGGACATCCTCGGGAGCTTGTGAACTCTTACAGCTGCATGCAGTTCATGAGGAGAACCTGTACGAGAGCAGCCCTGTAGTGAAGGCTTGGATGCAGAGAGTGAGAGAGAGGCTGCAGCCGACGTTTGACGATGCCAGCAAGATGGTGTATCGAACGCGTGAAGTCACGAAGTCATCACTCGGATCTAATCTGTGAAGACATGATGAAGAGATGACATTAATCTGAATGTGTTGTGATTCAACTGAAGTGACAGTAAACAAATGTAAAACTGTTGTTTAATCTGTGATTTCAGGTAATAACATCAAAGTGCTCTATATATTCTTGTAGTTTTACTGTTTTGTTATATATATGATTGTTAGGGCAGTGATTTGCTTTCAAGTATGTTATCTTAAAGATTTTGGACCAGAATTTTGTTTGTTTAGGGACCGTTCATAATTTATGGCTAGGGGGGTGATGATGATTTTTATGGAGAAGCATGTACAATGTGGATGACCTCCCCTAACATTTATGTACAAAATAAGTGACCCCCCTGCACGTCATGTACAAAATCAATGACCCCCCTCCACTTCCCATAAGTTTTAAGCATAATTTTAAACATATATTTATGTACAAAATTGCTGACCCCCTGGTAATGCGTGTGTACAAAATTGCTGAAACCCCCAGCTCCCCAGAACAAAATTGGTGACCCCCTTAAAATCTCTCTCTTCTCTCTCTCTCTCTCTCTCTCTCTCTCTCTCCCAAAAAAGCCATAAATTACGAACGGTCCCTTAGTTCGTCTTTTTTCAAGTGTGGTAAGGGCTCATTCACCGACTGTAACCTTTTGAGTTGTGTAACTCATAATGTAACATAGGCTCAAAATCATCATAGACTGGGGTCTTGTGTGCATTTTTAACTGTCTTACAGATTTTCCTGACTTTGAAAATCAGGAATCAGGAAGAAAACTATAATTTCAATCCACATCGATTTTATTATTGCTCAGCCTGAAAGGACACTTACAAATTGCAGTTGACCCAGATGTTCTCACACAGAGGAGTCGTGAGTAACAGATTTCAGTGAGATATTTTAAATATCGTGAAGAAGTGGTTTTCATGTTCTTATTGTCAGACAGCTAGTTCACACTCAACGGGCTTCCCAGTAGTTAAGTGTTTGTGTGCAAGATGGAAGTAGATGTGATAATGTACTGTTTGAGATAACCAGAGTATTACTGGCATGTAATCAAGACAATTATCTGTATATGCAGGAATGTACATGGATCCATCCATTTTCAAGTTAAGGGACTCTCAATATTAACATTTGGGGAAGAAAATTTATAAGCATTTTATTGCCAGGCCGTTGATGGGCTAGCACTTTTAGCCTTATGTCTGTGTCTGGAAGTGTTAATGCTACTCTCATCAACAAAAACACGCAGTAGATGCTCATGGATTACAAAAATGTTGATCTTGTTTATTAATGAATCATTCAATATAAATGTACTATTTTTTTGGAAAAGTGTTCATGATAATTGATATATTTGTTAATTGGTATGGTATACAAGCACATGTGTTTTTAAACATTTTATGTGACTGTATAAAAATGTCATAAAAAGAAATTGATGCATAATGCTCCTGCAGATTGTGACAGTCATGCAGTGACAATGACTATAAACGGTGACATTTGAGTCAATAGTTTTGTCATACTTTTGTCAACCTATTTGGAGTGGGAAACCAAGATGGAATGGTGTCAATCAGAACTTCAAATCAGAATTTCTAATGACAGCTGGAAGTTTGAGGGCCCAAGTCTACAGTTCCATGGCATTTGAAGGTACGTTAGAGCACCACATCTCATTTATGGGTATTACAATGTGTGAAGCCCATTTCTGGTGTGCTGATAAAAGCTGGGTAAAACTAAAATCAATCTCTCAATTATTGGTATACCCACGTAATATCAACCAAAGATCATCAAGATGTCATCAGGGTGAACGTCATTGATATGCGACGGCCACAGAGGCAGCAGGACGTGTGTCTGATGTGACAAGGTTATCAGATAAGTCGGTTACCATCCCTGAGAGGTACTAAGTGGACCCAGAAGACCGGTATATTTGTTCCTATTTAGACGTTTGCATTGACAACATGCGTTGGTGTATGGTTCAGTAATAAATGGTGATTTCTCCTTAAACGCTAAGATGAAAGACAGCGTGTCTCCATCCTTGTAAGAGTCGACAAACGGGATCAGGTGGTCAGGTTTGGTGACATCGTTGGCACATGTCATCGTAGCTCAAATACGTAGATTGATGCTCATGCTGTTGATCACTGGATTGTCTGGTCCAGACTGGATTGTTTACAGACCGCTGTAATTCCATACAGCTGGAGTATTGCTGAGTACGACATTTAACAACAGACAAATCAAGTGAAATTAGCATGTGATCGCCTGGTCCATCTGTATGTACGATCGCCTGGTCCATCTGTATGTACGATCGCCTGGTCCATCTGTATGTACGATCGCCTGGTCCATCTGGATATACCATACACATGAGCATTAACTAAGCACCACCTGAATCCAATAGCATTTTTAAATTTTGGTTCCAGACAGGCGATCATGCTTCAAACAATATCTCAACCAGTGTCTGAACCTAAACTGTCATCACTCGGTCTGACCCAGTGTCTGAACCTAAACTGTCATCACTCGGTCACCCAGTGTCTGAACCTAAACTGTCATCACTCGGTCTGACCCAGTGTCTGAACCTAAACTGTCATCACTCGGTCTCACCCAGTGTCTGAACCTAAACTGTCATCACTCGGTCTCACCCAGTGTCTGAACCTAAACTGTCATCACTCGGTCTCACCCAGTGTCTGAACCTAAACTGTCATCACTCGGTCTCACCCAGTGTCTGAACCTAAACTGTCATCACTAGGTCTGACCCAGTGTCTGAACCTAAACTGTCATCACTCGGTCTCACCCAGTGTCTGAACCTAAACTGTCATCACTCGGTCTCACCCAGTGTCTGAACCTAAACTGTCATCACATCACCTAGGTCTCACCCACCCAGTCACCCAGTGTCTGAACCTAAACTGTCATCACAAGGTCTGACCCAGTGTCTGAACCTAAACTGTCATCACTCACTAGGTCTCACCCAGTGTCTGAACCTAAACTGTCATCACTAGGTCTCACCCAGTGTCTGAACCTAAACTGTCATCATAGGTCTCACCCAGTGTCGGTCTCACCCAGTGTCTGAACCTAAACTGTCATCACTGTCATCACTAGGTCTGACCCAGTGTCTGAACCTAAACTGTCATCACTAGGTCTCACCCAGTGTCTGAACCTAAACTGTCATCACTAGGTCTCACCCAGTGTCTGAACCTAAACTGTCATCACTAGGTCTCACCCAGTGTCTGAACCTAAACTGTCATCACTAAGTCTGACCCAGTGTCTGAAATTAAACTGTCATAAATTTTGTTGACTTGGTCATATTAAGACGGCCGTCCGTACAGAAAGCGCGCAAGCAGCGCTGTGCTAAGGCAGGGCTTACATTACGTCCGTTTTTTTAACGCATGCGTTATGCGTTGCGTTTTTGCTCTTACACTATATGCGTGAATATGCGTTTTGAACATGCGCTAGATGGCGGCCATAGCTGTGATGAGTATGGTGTTGGAGGAAGAGGGGGAATTCGAAGAAGAGGAGGAATTAATCACAACCACAACAGTTATGTAAATAGTATTATATGGTATATTACTTAATATTTATGACATAGTTTAAGTCATATACAAACAGATAAAGCATTCTGGAGTGATAAGTCATCCAATTACGAGGATTACATGTTACATTGGCTTGTTTCGTTCAAGAAATTACAAAATCAACTCACCGGAACTACTCACGTGTTGGCAAAATACCTTGTTAAAATGGCGTCATCAAGGGAATTCCCTCTGCGTTTCAATTTGCGTTGCGTCAAAAATACTGTCAGACCTATTTTCAACGCAGCGCAACGCACCCAAAAAACGGACGTAGTGTAAGGTATAAATGATAAAATAACTGACTTGCGTTTTTTTGACGTAACGCACGACGCAACGCAAGAAAAAACGGACGTAATGTAAGCCCTGCCTAAGCAGCGCGTCGGTGCGTTTATTTTGTGCCTCTTTTTGAACAGCGCGTTACCGCGTCTATCCATACAAAAATTGAACTGAAATTAACATTTTGTTGACTTGGTCATATTAAATTTCTTTTGTTAGTGTGTTTCAGAAGAAGGATGCAGGTTATAGATTCCTGATCATTAACGTAGGGGCCTACGGTCGCAACAGTGATGGTGGTATTCTTGCATTTCAGCGCTTGGAAAAGCTCTTGAAGGGAATAAACTGAGCATACCAAAAGATTCGGTTCTACCTGGAGACACCGGCCATGGGCCTATGCCTTACGTCTTTGTTGCAGATGAAGCCTTTCCGCTCAAAAGACACATCATGAGAGCGTATCCAGGAACAGATCTACCTGAGAGCAAACGCATTTTCAACTATCGTCTTTCTAGAGCCAGAAGAGTAGTAGAAAATGCGTTTCGCATTCTTGCAAACAGATCGCGCATATTCCACAGAAAGAACAACCTGAAGGTTGAGAGTGTCAAAAAGATAACACTGGCATCATGTGTCCTGCATAATTTTGTACTGCGAGACACACCCCAGTCATTATCTGATGAGAGGCAAGCACAGTGTAAAACTCAAGCGCTGGTAGATGTTGGTGGAATTGGTAATCACCCTGGAACAGACGCCATGCAAACGCGTGACAACTTTTGCAGGTATTTCTGTTCACCTTCCGGAGAGATTCCCTGGCATGCACAACCGTTCGAAGAGGTGCAACTTAAAGGAGTACACAAGTGCATTTCTGTGGGTGTCTGCTTATGTACAAAACACTCCAGTCATATATTGACAATTATAAAAGGGTGCCTGCTTTTGAAAATGTTCACATGATATTACCTGTTGACTAGCATGCTTGGCTGATTGCCGTCCATGCATTATTTGAAATTTCTGCATCTTTATAATGTCTGCTGTCAATATCATAGAGGCAGGGATGTTACTGTACCTCAGTGATCAATAATTCCTCATTTACTTGTGTTCTTGGCATCGTATACGTCTGAAATAACAACATTTTGACCAAAGCACGTGTATATCCAAGACAAGCGGAAGAGGGAGATTCCCCAGTGCGCCGACGCGCTCCTTGAATGGACTTGAAATAACTGTGGCAATTTTTCGGAAATGACGTGACTCGCAGCGCTGCTTGCGCGCTTCTTGTATGGACGGCCGCCTTAACTGTGTTGTTCTGCATCATACTCACCAAGACACATGTCATCGTACCGACGTCGCTTGTTGTTCATGCCAGTCACTGGATTGTCTGTCCCAGACTCGATTATTTACATGCCGCTGTCATGTATCCATAATATAGTTGCTGAGTGCGACGTAGAACAACATGCAAACTCCCAATATTAATACCACGACATCGATTTCGAAATCCAACCTTCAAATTGTATCCGATGTCCTCAGTAATGTCCTCAAACCTTTGGGGCGGTGGGGTAGCCTAATGGTTAAAGCGTTGGCTCGTCACGCCGAAGACCCGGGTTCGAATCCCCACATGGGCACAATGTGTGAAGCCCATTTCTGGTGTCCCCCGCCGTGATGTTGCTGGAATATTGCTAAAAGCGGCGTAAAACCAAACTCAGTCAGTCAGTCCTCAAACCTTTGGTTATGTGATGGCGACGGGGTAGTCTTATGGTTAAAGCGTTGGATTCTTATGCTGAAGGTCAGGGTTTGATTCCCTATATGAATGCAATATGTAAAGCCGTCTTCAGAACATACTTATCAATGTCTGCCCCGGTATCTTTCGCATGCGACGATGAAAATACGTGCACTGAGTGCCACTGACGGGCGAAGACAGACGGCCCACGCGACAGATAACCATTCTGCCTGTGGCTTTAATAATTACACAAGCAGCTTTAGTGTCGTGAGGTAAAAGCATGTACATGATTGTCCAGAGCTCTTCCGTTGACTTACAAACATCGTGATACAGTTGAAGATAGTCATCCACTCTCACGTAAGACTAGACATCTTACGTATCACGTGACCTTACTACGCTAAAATTATATTACTACGTCACCAGTACAACAGCCTGACCCAATAAGTCGTTTTATGGTTGGGATATTGCTTAAGAGACATTACCTTTAAATCTTAATTGAATATATCTCGCAAACAATGTCAAAGTGGTTTTTGTAACACAAAATCAACATCCAAACCGTTCCCGAAATGAGTGCTTGATGGATTCCCGGAGAGGCTACTATGTTCCATCTACTGACGTCAAGGTTTCCAGCAGAGATCTGTGTTTTCAGTCTACGTCATTTAATGTTGGGCCGAGCTTCCAGTTGGGCGTCTGTAGAATCAATACTAAGTAGAAACAACGATGTATGATCACTCATTCTACCTGATGTTGTTCGGCACCTGCTCAACATTACTGCCTCTGGGAAGCTGGAACAAAAACGGGATTGATTACTTATTTAGAAATGACAAATTGTTTCAAATATGAAAAAAATGCCAAATGCTTTGATAATGGATGCGTTTCTGATACATCTCCCGGAGCAGTTCTTTCTGTTTGCTGTTGGCATTCCATTAATGCTAACAATTTGTTTGTTGTTAAAGTTGCACTCAGCAATATCCCAGCTATAAGTCTGGACCAGGCAATACAGTGATCAACAACATGAGCATCGATCTACGCATTTGGGATACGATGACATGTGTTTACAATGTCAGCGAGCCTGACCACCCGATCCCGTTAAGCACGGCTTGCTAAATATCAATGCTAACCTGGATCTTTACGGGTCTTACGCTAACAAGACAGCTCCCATTGTCCGGAACGTCTGTCTTTAGAGCTGATCACGACTGGTTCGCGTCATACTCAAAGACTTGAAAAGGTGGTGCTTGTTGTTACCGTCCTGATGAGGGGATAAAACAAAGAGATCGACTGAGTCTCTAAACTGTCTGAGTGGGGTGTCCATGTGGAAGGGCGGTATGGTATCTCGGTGGGATAGCATTCTCTAAAACCGGCATTAGTTCGGACGTAAGGCATGACTAGCACAAGCAGCCACCACTTGTGAACAACCGGATTAGAACGGCTTGTCGGGCTCGCTGACTTGTTTGCCGCATCGATGCGTCTTAATTGCGTAGCACGATGCTCATAATGTCAAGCACTGGATTGTCTGGTCCAGACTCAATTATTTACAGACCGCCGCCATACAGGTGGAATATTGCTGAATATGGAGAATCGAGACTATATCAATCACAAGCAACCACACGCATCTGCGTGATCTTGAACGCTAAACCCTCCAGCTCTTCTTGGGGTGGCGGGATAGCCTAGTGGTTAAAGTGTTCGTTCGTCACGCTAAAGACTCGGGTTCGATTCCCAACTTGGGTACTATATGTGAAGCCCATTTCTGGTATCCCCTGTTGTAGTATTGCTGGAATATTGCTAAAAGCGTCGTAAAACCTCACTCACTCACTCACATTCACTCACTCACTCACTTACTCTATCTCTTCTTTAAAACAAGTATGCAACCTCCTAAACGCCAAAATCTCCCATCGTCCCCCAGACAAAGCCTGGTTAATGAGAACAGGAGAACCTACATCTACGACCCAGCATGGTAATCATCTATTTGATTGACTGACTTTTTCCATTTTTCATTAAATTAAGTAATTGGTAATTAGGACAAAGCATTTCACGACTGTATTGATTTGATGTGTTCTATCCAAATGGATCACACTCGCTCAGAATAAGACGATTTATACCTGCGTGAAGCCCAGATAATTCCGCAAGCATCCTGTGTTGCCATGGAAACGAAACAAATCGAGAAGAAATAGATTCCCCGTGTTGTGACTGATACTGCAGGTCAAACTTGTATGATGCTTGTTAGTAATGCGTGGTACCTGGAGTGTGTCCATATAGTAAAGGGAGATAACTGGAGTATTGGCATGTATGCCTGGCAGCGTTCATGTCGAGATGAATCTGGACTGCTGATGGCCAAGAACAGATTAAGTCAACCAACGTATCAGGTGGTCAGGTAGTCCAAGTCATACGAACTTCCAATGTTGATAAGAAAGTA